TCATGTGGAGTTTGCGTTGGGGTTTGGAATGAACTACAAGCCGGTCTCTTTGGGGCTGTTTACGCCTGGCCACAATGCGTTTTCTCAGATCGGATAGCTATCTGATTTATCAAAACGATTCCATTACACCTGCAAACATAAATGTGTTTTTGCAAAACGGATATAATCTGATCTTCAATTCCCGCGCTATATAGGCTACAGAATTCATGAAGTGCACGTCACCGAAAGCAACAGATATGAGCTGTATTTTATTAATCATCGGCTAATTTCAAAATCAGCAAAGACAGCAATAAGAGAGAACGGCAACAGCCCTGGTAAGATCATTTCATTTCTTTACTTTTAATGAAGATGGTAGTGTTAAGAGTCTGCGACTTATTTTCACTTTGATTTGCGATAGATTGCGGCGCGCTGGCTTTATGAATAGACGCTCAGCTGCTCATCTGAGGTGATGTGCGTCGTCATATATGACTAAAATAACATAACCTATAGCCTGCTTTCAACAACCAGATGCATTTACACTTGTCCAGTTTTGTCTGGAATACGGCCCAGACCACGTCCTCAAGTGATTTGAGCGATCGGATTCAAATCCGTCTCGAATGCATTTCGGAGGGCAACCTGGTCTTTTCACGATCGAATAGCTATCCGATCACAGAAAACGCATGAAGTGACCAGATGTAGGCTAAACAGCCACTTTGAATCCATCTTCAACTTTTGTGGAAAGTTGACTAAAGTTGTGTCGCTCGAGTTGTCTTCTCTGATACGGAGAATGGTGGCGAATACACTCCCCCTGCAAGACATAGGCACATAGCCAGGAGAGCGTGAACGCGCATGACGTCACTGCCAGTCTCAGATTCGAGCCCGAATCCCTCTAATTTATTTTACTGTACAGGATTATAGAGGCGATCTCAGTGATCAGAGAAGGGCTCATTCAGCCCATCAGGCAAGTGTTTAAGCATGTATGGGTTAGAAAACGGCTATTTTTAACATGAAATGTTGCGCAATGCACCTTTAATAATTTATTATTTATTAAAAAAAAAAAAATTCCGGGTATTTTAATTCATCCTTTAGAATCATGTATTAAAGACGATACAAATATTCAAACAGATCAAAGTTACTATGGTGATGTCACAGGTCGAGGGGAGGAACGCTCGGGTGACCAACCACCCCCCTCTAACTGAGTCACCACCGTGAGGAGCCGACACCACAGGCACACAACAGAGGACCCGGAGACAGAGATAAGTTTCAAAGGAGTAACAATCTTTATTACACCAAGGGTTTCTCACAGTTCAAGATACTCTCGTCGATGTACGATGATGGACCAGGGGGGTTGAAGCTTACTTCTCCCCAGCGGTGCTGCAGACTTCCAGACCCAAGAGTAAGTATGACAGGTAAGGATTCTTCACAGTACAGGGTTCTCTCGTTGGTGCACAGTAATGAAGCAGTGGATTAAAAGCTTACTCTTCCCCCAGCGGTGCTGCAGACTTCCAGACTCAGACAGTAAGTATGGCAGGTGAGGATATTCACAGTACACAGTACTCTCTCTTCAGTTCACAATAGGGAGACAGTGAGTCATAAGGTTACTTTACCAGCGATGCTGTGTGCTTCTGGGCTCAAACAGCACGTAGAACAGGTGGGGATATTCACAGGACACAGTACTCTCTCTTCAGTTCACTGTATCACTCTGGGCTTCTGACGGGGGCAGATATAATAACCTTCCACGAACATGTAAGCATGGATAAGGGCCACTTCTCAACAAAGACACAGCACACTTGTGTTCACTTCAATTCCACAGCAATAAATCAATGTGTATCAATAAGGCAAAAGCACTGCAATTCACTCACACGATAGGGTTGGACAGAGGCCCCACTCCGTCCGTTGCGCTCGTTTACAGGGGTTTCACTTTTAATTCCTCCTCATCACACTCTGAATAACATAGCTCCTCCAACAGTCAGATCCACATTCACTGTATCCTCTTCAAACGGTTCAAATGTTCATAAGATGAAAACAATTCACTTATCTTTCCTCTCTCCTTCCACAGCACAGATCCAGTCCTAGCTCGGTCCAGCGGTCTTCCCACAAACGATCACTCTCACCCAGCAGCCTCAAATGGGTGATCTCCACACCCCAACGATTTTTCCAAGGAAGCCTGTATCCAGCACTGCCCAGAGTCAACCCACTTTAATGTCTGATCTTGTCAACCCTTTGGACTCTTCACACTCTGTACACCCACCGAACGCGCCCCAAACACTCTCTGAATGCCCCTTTTATATCGTGGCTTATGAAACAGGGAGCCTGTGTGAGCGCCGCTCCTCTCTCTCTCACACCTGCAATGCATTAGCGCTAATCAGTACGGGCATGTTTCCATCACAACACATTTCGCAACAAATTAAATGTCCAGCTGAGGGCACCAGCGTCATTGAAGCTTAGCCTTTTGCACAGCCGCCCCCGAATTTCTTTAACAAATTTGTAATTAGAGAAAAGGCTTATTAGTCTTTGCTGGTGTCATCAGGTAGGGCAGGCAGTTTAATCAGACGAGCCACAGGCCTTGTGTAACTTTTGTCTTTGACATTCACTACCGCTGTGCGGACTCGTCCATCTTGTCCGGGAATGACTTTGGCTACAGTACCTGTTTGCCATAAGGCTCTGGGTGCTTGCTAGTCCACAATCACCACAACTTCACCAATTTGAAGGTTGTCTGACTCTCTTTGCCATTTTTGTCGTCGTTGCAAGTCGGGGAGGTAATGCCGAATGAAACATTTCCAGAAATGTTCGATTAGAATCTGGCTATGGCGCCATCTCCTACGACTGAGCATTTCCGATTCCGGATAAACAACTTGTGGTAATCCAGAAGATGGACGTCGTATGAGGAGGGAATTAGGTGTCACTGGGTCTAGATCTGCTATGTCTGAGGAAACATATCCCAATGGTCTGGAGTTTAAAAAGCTGGACGAAACAACGGAAGGTTGGACTGAGGGAGATCCGCCATCATAGGAATTTCGGGATTCCCTCGCCATTTCTTACATTCAAAGCAGCTGCGCTGGTGTCTTTTTACTGCCTCTCACGATCCAATATTTTCGTCTCAGTTCTGCGAACACGCACTCAGGTCCTGGATGTAACAGGAGGTTGTCGTGATGTTGAATCAGAAGCTTTACAAGAGGGTGAGCAGGATCTAAGACAATAGGGTGTAGAGTGTCTGAGTCCAAGTGCTTACATCTGCGATCAGTTTCTCACTCCTATACGGAAGTGTGTCCATTTGCCACAATTTCTGTACATTGTTGAACAGTTCGGCTTCTGCTGACAAAGTGGAGGTTAATAGACACTGTTGTGGTGAGAGCTGACTGGCAAGGAATTGAGGGGCCCTGCAGAGTCCACCCGAGTCTGGCTTTCACAGCGGCAGGACCGCCAGGAGGTCAGAGACGAACTGGCTCTGTAGCTGTGATTAAATGTGGATAATCTGAGCCAATGAGTAAGAGTGGTTGAGCCTGCTGCATTGAGGGAATGGGCAGACCTTGCAGATATCTGTATTTCTTCTGCAGCAACTTAACAGGGTAAGTGTGTTTTGTGAGGCTCAGTTCTTTGGCTGTAAAAGCTCTTTCAATGGTGAAGGATTTGTTTGGCTGAAATGCAGAAGCTACTGAGAATGAAACAGCCACCCCATGAACAACCCATATGTCTTGTCTCACAGTATGGAGGGCTATATCTTCAGGAAGTCCTTGAAGATCAAGTTGCTGTGCTGGTTCATACAGTAACATTGTCCTCTCTGATCCATCATCCAATATAGCGTATGTGTCAAGTTCCTTCTCTCCATTTCTCAAGATCACTCGGCTGACCTTCAAAAGAACTTTGCTGCCTGCAGTTGGTCTGTCCATATACAAAGTCTCTACTTCTGAGTTCACAAGACAACCGTTTTCTGCTGAAGCTTGTGTTTCATGTTTACCTTTGGCATTGAAGTCATGCAGTATTTCTAAATGTCTCTTTTCACATTTGGCTTTAAGATTGCATTGTGAGATCTGGTGGTCACGGCCACACCTAAAGCACTTCTGATTTGACTTCAGCCAAGACTCCACTTGATCTTGATTCAGCAGTTTGAAATTAGCGCACTGATTGAAGTAATGCTGCACAGTGTTGCAGAAGGGGCAGTACTTTGTCGATTTCTCCTTCTTGACTGCTGTAACACTTGCTGGTTTACTCTGTTCGCCACCATCCAAGACAGTAGCAAATCGTTGAACCGGCTTGCAATTCCTTTGCTGTTCTCTCGGTGGCTGAGAGTAGGCTCTGCTTACATTACTAACGTACTGTGACTCATCCTCTTGTATTCTGAGCTCATATTCAAGCCAATCGCTGAGTTCTATCAGTGTTGGAACTGGGTTCTGAATGGGGTTAACAAACCTTCTGAAGTTTGCTTTAAGATCATGAGGCAATTTGACAAGGAGACGTGAAACATGCAACCCACATTTGAGCTCTGTCCATCCTTTAGCTCCAAGTTGGTCCAGCATTCCAACTCATGCACGCACATTGAGGGCAAACATTCTCAAAGATTTAGTGTCACCACTCCTGATTTTTGGGCCATCCATCAATTCTGCAATTCTTTGTAGTGCGAGTTGATGTGGTTGACCATAAAGTGCAGTTAGAGACCTCATGGTGTTGGTGTATGGGTACCTGCTGTTGACGTACGAGTCTGCAATGAGCAAGGCATTCTCCTGTTTCAGATCAACGAGTATTTGGTACTTGAAACGTTCTGTAGCCTCGGCAGGTAGCAAATTCTCCAGTGCAATTTTGAGTCATGCAAACTCTGGGATCTTTACTACAAAAAAGAGGAATGGTGGGAATAGGACCTCTGTAGGTGGGCTCTACATGAGGATATGGAAGAGAAGGAGGGCGCACTGGGTGGTATGGCTGATATGTCTCAGGCTGAGCGTAATCTGCGTACTGTCGTGGGGGTCAAGAAGCTTGATTTGTCTGTAGGATTAGGATGGCTGATTGACCATAGTTGTCTTAGTGTCTCATGTGCATGGTGAGCTAATGTATCCCTTGGAGAAAGTCTCTCATCTTGATAGACTGGACTTGTAGCTGGAATCCCATGATAAGGTTGCTGATAACCATATGGTTCAGTGGTAGGGAAATAGCGCACGGGTTTGCAGTTCAGACTATGATCTTTATAAGTCCCATACGTAGCTGCTGTCTCTTGACTATAGTCCTGAAGCATAAACTGAACAGCTGCGGGATATTGGTTGCGATCTCTTTGGTCAATGGACATATAGTTATGGCCTCAGTGGTCTGTGTTGTAGTAACCACGTGGTCTATCTATGTGCCTAATACCAGGTTGAGGATATATAGCATCTTCTTGATGGGCTAGCTTGTGTTGGTTCATAAGAAGAGAAAGGATGACTTGAAGTTAGCCGAGTTGCCGAGCCTGGTAGTCTCAGGTCTCCTAGATTGTCAGTGAGATAATCTCTTTGTGACTGACAGAATGAGAATGCAGAAGGTCACCTCGTGAATCTACAGACGGTGCCCTCATGGGCTGAGGAGAATCGTCTTGATCTCTAGGCAGAACTGTCCTGCCCTCAGTGGCTGCTGTATATGGACTTGAGGAGAGAACTCTCTGATCTGCATAAATTATTCGCCTTGGAGAAGTCCGAGTACAGGGCATTGGCCGCGGCGGTTTGTTGGGCCAGTTGCTCCCCTCCATGAGATATACAGCTTTGTTTGTGAAGGACACCATTGCAGATTTTGACACCATTACATCTGCGAGAGAAAGTCCAAACAAACAGTGAAGAATATCAACTTTTTGGCTTAAAGTGCATGTCTTGTAAAGATGATAAAGAGTATAGTTCAGATCAGCCAATAGCTCACCTGTTCCCTCCTCAGTAACATTCCCATTTACAAGAAATGTGTCTTGCATTTGGTCTTCAAATTTGGTGTCGAAAAACACTGACGCATCAACAGTAAGAGATGCATAGTCCGTGGCATTCATCTGGTAGGAGAACAAAGACACAATTAAGTCAAGCACAGGCAAAAGGAAAACCCTCAGCAGTAAGGCAGGAGTCACACACCTTTGCGGTTTGAGTCAGGCACTGTCCGGTCACATTATGAAGCAGACTGTATGGAAATGGATCACGGCACACTTCCAGTAAGGCTTGACCAGGTACAGGTTGGACATATGTACATCTGGGAATTATCATAACAAGATAAAGAACTGACCAACCACAAGACAAGAAAATAAAAGCATCACTCACTTGGCACAAGACTCAACTTTCAGTCCCATAACTGCAACGCTGTAGGTCTGCAGTGCATTTACGGTCACGTCAAACTTGGGCAAAACTAAACCAGAAACAAAGCGCTTTAGATTAAGGCCTCAGATCTGTCATTGAATTGCCCTCACACAACAACTTACCGTATTTTTTCACCTCAAAGACTTGGGATACTAGTGTTGGGACTCTTCACTCCACAGCTACTCCATTCTGTGACACCTAGGTCTTCGTGTCTGATGGACGCACGGACGGACGGACGGACGGACGGACAGACGGACGGACGGACGGAAGGACGCACGCACGGAAGGACGGACGCACGGACGGACGCACGCACGGACGGAAGGACGGACGCACGGATGGACGCACGCACGGACGGACGGACGCACGCACGGACGGACGCACGCACGCACACACGGACGGACGGAAGGACGCACACACGGACGGACGGAAGGACGCACGCACGCACGGACGGACGGAAGGACGCACGCACGGACGGACGGATGGACGCACGCACGGACGGAAGGACGGACATCCTTCCAACCGTCATATTAAAAGACCACATTCAGTAACAAAAGCTAGTATAGACCATTACAACACAAGACTACATTTTTTCATTTTATCTTTAAGTCATGTACCAATTTCTAGAGTAAGAATCAAAGTAACAGACATACCGACACTGAAGTTGCGATAAAAACTCAGGCCCTTGTACTTCAGACACTGGGGTAAACTAAAGTGGCATTCTAATCAGAAGTGCCACACACTGAAATATCCAGATTAAAAGCTCAAACAAAAAACCTGATTGAGGCACACAGACACCCTTTCAGCACTCAGACGTCTTCCTGGCTCCATGATCCGGATGCTCTGATCTACCACACAGAGATCCTGCTTGAGGAGACACCATCAGAACGTTTCCCTCCGCAGGAACAGTCGTAGCTGGAGAAAACTGCAGAGACACCTGGAACAAGGACCAACACGCTGTAGGACACACACCAACATTCCCAAATTGAAAAATAGCCTCATCATACAGTACCTGGTTCTGGAAATGCATATCGGTGTCAAACGGCACACTAGCAGCAACTGCATTCTCACTGGGAAGAACGCTGTGGACCAGAATCTGCACTGCTGGAGCCATATCAACGCTGACGGACAACTGGAACGTCACAGAGCCACTTGTGACTGCATCACCAGCCTTTGCTATAACCGTCTGAAATCCATGGAGGATGATCACTCCTTTGGATAAGACCTGACAGAAGACATAGGTGTGCTAGTTGTGGAACAAACAGACCAGCAAACTGAACTACAAAACTAATGTCCACTCACCATATTGATTGTCAGCGCTGTAGCTACCAGCCTCTCCAACAAATGAATACTCCACGGTCACTGGAAACGAAGCACCACATTTGAGCGGCTGATTGAGCTTCACTATAGTCAGTTCACTAAACGATGGGTTGTCGGGAGAAACAGGTAGGAGAAGCTGAACAAACCTTGTATCTGTAGTGAAGTATGGCGATTTATAACCATAAAAAAACCTCTGGATTAGCACTCACCTGGGGAAGATAAAACTTAATCAGTATCATGCTAGAGAAAGTCTTAATTTTTTACAAAATACAAGTCGTACCACCAGATTCAGATCAGCCTTAAGATTAGCAGTGTTTAGGGAGAACGCAGCCCATCAATTCTTGTTTGTGGTTAGATTCAACAGCAGTTTGTTGGGCCAGTTGCTCCCCTCCAAGAGATATACAGCTTTGTTTGTAAAGGACACCATTGCAGATTTTGACACCATTACATCTATAAGAGAAAGTCCAAACAAACAGTGAAGAATATCAACTTTGTAGTTTAAAGTGGATATCTTCTAAATATGATAGAGTATATGGTTCAAATCAGCCAATAGCTCACCTGTTCCCTCCTCAGTAACATTCACATTTACAAGAAATGTGTCTTGCATTTGGTCTTCAAATTTGGTGCCAGTGACATTCATCTGGTAGGAGAACAAAGACACAATTAAGTCAAGCACAGGCAAAAGAAAAACCCTCAGTAGTAAGGCAGGAGTCACACACCTTTGCGGTTTGAGTCAGGCACTGTCCGGTCACATTATGAAGCAGACTGTATGGAAATGGATCACGGCACACTTCCACTAAGGCTTGACCAGGTACAGGTTGGCCATATGTACATCTGGATATCATCATAACAAGATAAAGAACTGACCAACCACAAGACAAGAAAATAAAAGCATCACTCACTTGGCACAAGACTCAACTTTCAGTCCCATAACTGCAACACTGTAGGTCTGCAGTGCGTTTAAGGTCACGTCAAACCTGGGCAAAACTAAACCAGAAACAAAGCGCTTTAGATTAAGGCCTCAGATCTGTCATTGAATTGCCCTCACACAACAACTTACCGTATTTTTTCACCTCAAAGACTTGGGAGACTAGTGTTGGCACTCTTCACTCCATGGCTACTCCATTCTGCGACACCGCGCGCCTAGTCGCAGTCGCCTAGGTCTTTGTGTCTCACTGCCTCATCGCTTCTCTGGCTACGTGGTGTGCTCCACCTCCATCACCTCTGGTAATCCCCTTGGTAGTGTTGGGACTCTTCACTCCATGGCTACTCCATTCTGCGACGCCGCCGTGGGATGCAGTCCTGACTGTGGGCTGGGTCTCCGTCTGCCCTTCCCTGCTCAAGGCCATCCCCCTGGCTGTCACCACCACCTGCACAAACCTTTACTCCAGCTACGGACGGATGGCCGCCGTGGGATGCAGTCCTGACTGTGGACAGGGTGTCCGTCTGCTCTTCCCTGCTCAAGGCCTTGGGCGGACGGAGCGGACGGACGACTTGGGCGGACGGGACGGACGGACGACTTGGGCGGACGGACGGGACGGACGGACGGACGACTTGGGCGGACGGGACGGACGGACGACTTGGGCGGACGGGACGGACGGACTGACGGACAACTTGGGCGGACGGGACGGACGACTTGGGCGGACGGGACGGACGACTTGGGCGGACGGGACGGACGACTTGGGCGGACGGGACGGACGACTTGGGCGACTTGGGCGGACGGGACGGACGGACGACTTGGGCGGACGGGACGGACGGACGACTTGGGCGGACGGGACGGACGGACGACTTGAGCGGACGGGACGGACGACTTGAGCGGACGGGACGGACGACTTGAGCGGACGGGACGGACGACTTGAGCGGACGGGACGGACGACTTGGGCGGACGGGACGGACGGACGAGTTGGGCGGACGGGACGGACGGACGACTTGGGCGGACGGGACGGACGGATGGACGACTTGGGCGGACGGGACGGACGACTTGGGCGGACGGGACGGACGGACTGATGGACGACTTGGGCGGACGGGACGGACGGACGACTTGGGCGGACGGGACGGACGGACGACTTGGGCGGACGGGACGGACGGGACGGACGGACGGACTACTTGGGCGGACGGGACGGACGGACGGACGGACTACTTGGGCGGACGGGACGGACGGACGGACGACTTGGGCGGACGGGACGGGACGGACGGACGGACGACTTGGGCGGACGGGACGGACGGACGGACGACTTGGGCGGACGGGACGGACGGACGGACGACTTGGGCGGACGGGACGGACGGACGGACGACTTGGGCGGAGGAGTCCATCCGGAAGGAATGCGGGTTAGCTGGAGGACAATAAAAAGCCAAAGAGAACCATGAAAAAAGGTTGGTGCAGATGGTGGTGACAGCCAGGGAGATGGCCTTAAGCAGGGAAGGGCAGACGGAGACCCAGCCCACAGTCAGGACTGCATCCCACGGCGGCGTCTCAGAATGGAATAGCCATGGAGTGAAGAGTCCCAACATTACCAAGGGGATTACCGGAGGTGATGGAGGTGGAGCACACCACATAGCCAGAGAAGCGATGAGGCAGTGAGACACAAAGACCTAGGCGACCGCGACTAGGCCACAGCGCCGACCCCTGAAGTGGAAGCAGCGATCCTGAGGTTAGAGGATGAGCTGCAGCAACCATAGATGGAGGTGGAAGCTGAGGGAGGGCGGAGCTATTCAAAGGCGAAAGAGGTGGAGAGCCGTAGGGCAGCGAATGGGCCGCAAGTCCATGGCGAAGAAGATGTAATGTCCAACAGAGGGAGGCCGAATGGCCGATGGTCCACGCTGGAGTCAAGGGTGGTAAGAGAGCACAGCTGCATTCTCACTGGGAAGAACGCTGTAGACCAGAATCTGCACTGCTGGAGCCATATCGACACCGTCACTTTGTTTGCAACTGGAGTCTTATCAAAACGAGTCACGGATATCTGTTAGGAATAATCAAGGTTAGGAAAGGGAAACAATTTGAAGGCTTCTGGGATAAGGATGACATTTTGCTTACCTTTCCATTAAGCATTGATCCAGATTCAAAATAAGGAACCAGGAGGTCCACAAATCTGACTCTGCCGACTACAAACATAAAAGGACACCATTGCAGATTTAGACACCATTACATCTGCGAGAGAAATTACAAACAAACAGTGAAGAATCAACTTTGTGGCTTAAAGTGGATGTCCTGTAAAGATGATAAAGAGTATATGGTTCAGATCAGCCAATAGCTCACCTAATCTAAACCAGAAACAAAGCAAAGCAGAAAAAACAAAACAGGACCATCATCCATTTGATCACTGGATGGCAAACAAACCAAGAGTAGTAATGGTGTTGAAGGAAAGCTTCAATGGTTCACAAAGCTTATTTTCACCATCTGTAAAGTTTAGGAAACAACTCCAACATAAAAACAGAATGCTTCTGTTCACTTCAAAGCCTAATGGTACTGACCTGGTTCTTTAAGTCCATCAACACAAAGAGAAAAAGGGTGAAACTGAGCTTCTTCCAAACACAAATCTCCCTCACAGCCATGAGGACAGATCAGCCAAGACTAACCCTTATCAAGCCACTCTTCAGACTCTAATAGATCAGGAACGCATTCATCTCGTTAATTCAATTAATTAACCACCACCTGGCAGTAATAATGTTATCATTTGATTAGGAGTTCCAACTGGCATTGATTTAAAACACGACACATTATGGAGGTTAGCGGACGAATTTTCTAGTTGCCATATCAACACTATAGAATTTTAAAAATATATAGCCTATGTATTTAAGATATTACTGAACATTTATTTAACCATAGCAAAAGTAAGTTTCTTGTGTTAATTTTAAACAAGTCTGATATTATTTTATCTTATATCTTGAGATAGTTCTTGAATGCTGGTGTGACAGCAGAAGACAGACTAGCCGGGTTTAAATCCTATATTTAAGAGAACTTTGTCCCAGTTGTGCAGGCGGGGCATGTTGTCACTGAGCAAATGATTAGAATTATTGCTTTTCTACTCTATACTTGTATGAACTCTATTGAGAAACCATGAAAAAAAGGGTGAATAAATTCTGAGATTCAATGTTCAGAAATTATAAATAGAGGGTATGCGCGTGACGTCACCGTTGGCCGGAGTGCCTGCAGTTCCTCACAGTGAGTCTCATTCATAAATATGTAAATATGAGTAAATATGAGAGTGATTTGCACGTAAAGAGACCTTCCCGAAAACTCTTCTCATGATTTACAAATACTTCGTAAACGTCAGATGTCATAGTGAAATGTGTGTGTTAATGAATTCCAACCTGTCGTAAATGGGATGCGCGTGCACGTTCATTCTCAATTACCATAAATCAAGTCCATATCCGACTGACATCTATATATAGGCATATAATAACATGAATGCGAATTTGATTTGATTAACTTCATTCAGATGTACTGGACAGAAATTCATCTTTGACACTGACACAACCACCACGTTACAAACCACACAAGAAATAAATAATTAATAAGTAGCGGACCTCGTCTCACACCACAAAGAACTCAACGACACCACTGGCTTCGGTGGACCACGTCTGCAGTTTATTGAAAGAGGACAGAAAATCAACACACTCCTTCAGTGTTTACTCTCTCTCAGCTCGCTCTCTCTAGTCACAGGCTGTTCTCAGATCATTTTATACAATAAAGTTTTGTATTACAACAATTTTGTCTCTCATTTATGAAAATTCACTTTCACACAAAACATATTAAACTAATAAAATAAAATTAGTTACACATTTTTACATTAATATTATAGCCAATATGTCTCAATTTCTTAGATCGTATAGTGGGTTTTTTTCCCCCTTATTCAAAACAATTACACATACCTGCAGTTTATTGAAAGAGGACAGAAAATCAACACACTCCTTCAGTGTTTACTCTCTCTCAGCTGAAGGATGTATGAGAAAAGACATGTTAAACACTGTCCCCTCTAACTGCAATTCATATAATTTCCTAGTAACACATAAGGCTATAAACATAAATTTTAACATCCAGAAGAAAGCTACACACATTTAACATACTAAACAACATATCTACAAACTCAATCCACCGAAATTAATTGTGAAGAAAATTATTAACACTGGAAAACCTGCAATCTAATATGACGCGCAGGCGGAAACATTAAACAAACACGTGCGTTTGTAATACTACAAAAATACATTAAACCGTGGACAGAAAAACCCTGATATAAACTTGTTCCCGTTTTATGACACTTCTATAATAGATATCAAGGTAAAACTTCACTTAATACAGCATATTTTCGCTCTTAAATAAGGAGCACTGCAGAGACGTACCTCGCTCTCTCTAGTCACAGGCTGTTCTGAGAGAGCAGGCGCGCCGCGCGCGACCAGTCCGTTACCAATGACGTCACTCACTGGCCAAACTCGAAATATTAATTTTAAACAAAAATACAGAGTTTTCTTGTATTGTAGAACAAAATAAAGATTATACTTGTAGTGCACGTAATTGTTTTAAATTGAATTTAACAACTTAATAATTAAACAAAAAGTTTGCTGGAACAGTTACCATGGAAACACAAAACACTACAAATACGTACACTGTTATGTGGATAGCAGATGAACCCAATTGCAGAAAGTATGCAAACACACAACGTTTATTGATAACAGAAAACTGGGAAAACAAAACCCACGAGGGGGCAAACAACACTGGTCGGGAAAATAAAGACTAATAACACTAGACTAAGACCAGTGGCGGCTGGTGAAAAATATTGGAGGGGGGCTGAATAAGAGGGGGGTCTGGGGGTCCCCCCCCCCAGAAAATTTTGAATTTACTAGATGTGATTTCCTGCATTCTGGTGCATTTTAGGCCTTAGGCCATGCCCTTAACTATACCAATAAAATAACTTAAACCAGTCAATACCAATGGTCAAATAATACAATAATAATAATAACAGTTTGACAGTTACTGATAATGAACAAGTTGTTTATTATGCTCTGTGTGCTGACAAAAAAAGTGCAAACGCATAATATTGATAAATTATAATATAGGTAATACAAAAAATAATAGGTAATACAACAATCTAGTTTAATCAATCCCCAGCTGTAGATTACATATTTTTGACAAATTGACAATTGGATAATGGATAACAATGTGTTGATACTAGAGAAAGAGAGAGAGAGAAAAGGCTGTGAAAGAGAGGGTGGGACAACATTCTTGCGGGTAACACCCAAGTATGAGAAGAAAGTTGATTTTAACTAGTATGAAACACAGTAATCTAGCTCAGAACTAAAAAACATCAAAAACAAAGCAAACACACAGGTATTAATATTCCTATAACTATTTTAATATCAAATGTGTGTGAAACAGTGTTTATGTGTGTGTGAGTGACAGAGACAGACAGGTCAATTCCCACGACTTACTTTACATTATTTCCACTCGACGTCACTGGCGCTGCCATTCTGCTCTCATCTGAGGTAAAAAAAAAATGTCCCGTGGTGCGCGTGCACGGTGCACTCCCCTAGTCTGAAGGTGTTTCTCAATGTCAAGGATACTTCCTTGGCAGGACGGGTCCTTCCAAGTCATTTCCTTCAGAGGCTAGGCAAGGGTCCTCTTTAGCATTCGGAGAACACGTAAATGGAACAGGCTAGCAAGTGCACGTCATTGCGTCATTACATCAGTGAAAGGTCCGCTTCGGTGCTGCAAAAATCTGTTTGTTGACAGTCCTTATTTTGTCTTGTCAGTCCTCATAGAAATAAATAAATAAATAAATAAAGTATAAGGGATAATGTATAACCAGGCGGTTGTTATAGTGAATACAACCCCGCAAACTCTAAAGCAGAGGGGTCTTGATTGAATCAGCCTGAAGGGGTTGTACCAAACGGCTACCTACCAAATAAATCAATAATTTGACACAAAATTTTTATTTAAAAAGGAGTTTATTCATTCAAAAACGATTATATTACCGGAGTGAACAGAACTAGCACTACGTCCATAGCAACATCTAGCTGTTAAAACACATGCAATGGTAAAATATGTGACCAACAAAAAAGGCTATAACGTTATATGAAGTAAAAATTAAAATTTAATCACCAGTAAAAGAGAACAGCTTTAAATCCCCTCAGCAAATTTGAGCCGATATGTTAAATAGTTTAACAAACATTAAATAAATGGCTATAACTGAAATTATACTTGCTTACATTTGAAAGCATATTGCCGTTATCACTCCGACTCCGCTAACGGTCGACATTTTTTTATTTTTTGAACAAGATAGCAAAGCTGCGCATAGGATTGTGGGTGATTTAAGAGCGCGAAGGCTACACATATGCATCCTTTCCTGTGTATGGGATATTTTCCGAACGAAGGACTCAGTCCTTGGTTGAAATTCTGAGGATCCTCGACATTGGAACAGTCCTTCGACGGACGTCGATGACGTAGCATCCTCGAAATTCCGGCTTCCGAGGATCCTTCCTTGACATTGAGAAACGCCTTGATACTGTGGGCGATATTTTCAGCGCCCCTAAACCATAAAATTTGACGACGCTGATTGGCGAAATATAAACTTTTTTGCATAGCAACCGGGGAACTATTGGCTTAAATTCCAGCACTGTGGGGCTGAGCGAACTGGCGCCCTGAGAAGACAGCCTATTGGCTATAGCCTACTACTACACCAACATGATAAAAGTAACGAAAGTGAATGCAAATATCATTCTGGTGAGTTCAAAACACTTTTCAAAGTAAAACCATTATTAGCATATAATTAACATTGATTATTTTTCAAAATTATAAATTATAATATATATTAAAAAAACAGACAGACAGGTCGGAGGGAGGGCGGCGCCCCAGCGCCCTCTATGGGCGAGCCGCCCCTGACTAAGACTTTGACATTAAACTATACAGGAACAAGACAGGATTTTACAAGATCACAACTTCGTTAAGACAAGCTACTCACAAGGTATAGACATGGCACAGGACAGCAAACACAAGGGGATCAAATAGGGAGAAACAGACAATGACTACGTTTACATGCAGCCAGTTTTCGGGTTATGGTCGGGTTAAGGTCACTTTTGGGGTTTCTGAAACATTAGGGATAAGCCTGCGCCCCGAAGGAAGGATCTCGAAGCAGGAATGGAGGGGATGAGTCTGGGCTGAATATATTGATAATGCCCTTTTCTCAAAAAAAAAAATGTGAATAGCTCTTGTAATGTGCTGTTTTTGGCCGATGATCTTATTTGCTTCATTGATTACTCGTGTTAGTTCATTCACTGTAATACCATGAAACAATATTATAAGTTAAAACACTTTCAATCATTGATCTATAAACAATGGTTAAGATTTCTTAACTTCCTAAGTAGACTTAAACGCTGTCTAGTTTTCTTATGTAGCCCATAAAATCCACATTGTCTTGGAAGGAAAGTTTATCATCAATGATTGAACCAAGATATTTTGCTCTATCTTTACGCCTTTTAACATTATTACAAAATATTCCTATTTAACACAGATGTCATTTGCTAATTACATAAATTATAAGCTCAATTCATAGCCCTTGGATCCAAAAGAGAGAGTCTCGACTGATGCATAAGGTGTCCTTTAGTAAGTTCCCCAAACCATGAAGCTCAACTCATCTTCATCATCACCATAGCACCGTGAAAACTGTATTGAAAACATATAAAATTTCACACACTTGGTTTCACGGTTACAAACATCATTACAAAACAAACATTAATTATACATCTAATAAAACCATACATATGGAGAGTATTATGAATGATCAATCATACCTCGCTGCGCTCACAAAGGAATGCAAACAAATTTTGATAATCCCCTTCCGTCATAAACGGGCGTCAAGTTTCAAGTTCATGAATAAAACACGAGATCTCAGATAAAATACACACATGTAGGCTCAAACACACGGCCGCTCCCCATTCACACCGCCAGCTACCCTTAAATGTTCATCATCCCTTGTGCAAAACTACGGTGTCACCAAAAGGACAAATCTCAGTATTACAGGTGCACCAAATTTCCAGTCAATCACACAAATAACAAAAGCACATGCAAAATACTTGAATAAGTTACAAGATTTACACAAATATTTGACCAATAACCAACTCAAAGCACACATTAAACTCTCAAAGAGGTCCTTTACAATATATATTTGTGTGGTCCTCGAATGTGTTTGAATATTATCAGCCTTTTCACCGTTTGTATCACTCCGCCGGTCTGTGTTTGCCCAACTTGCATTATTGACTGTCTTTATGAGTGCACAATTGAACTTTAACTCAACAGATTAGTGCCAAAAATATTGATTAGCTAACCTTAGAAAGAAACAAGTTGCTGAAACCAATCTTTAATGCTAATATATAAATTGCTCATTTTCCTCTGGACACAAAAAGATTGCACTGGTGTTTGATTGAAATAACATCTATGCAAAATAATCCTTGAAAGATTTCTCATTAAGGCCATTCCTGATCGGAATATGGATTGTGTGTCAACAATAAGCAGAAACATTCATTCATCATTCATTTCAACATTTATCCTCATTCTCATATTTAAGAATCTGTAATCTTTTATGCAACATGCTTTTAAATACCATTTTTATGACCTTCAAACACCTTAAAATGCACAAATGTAGGTCTGAGAAATCCACATTTTCTCGGGGGAGTAAGTGTAGAATGGACAGATGGAGAAGTTCACTCATCACTACCGACTCTCACTGAATGAGACTTAATTCCTATAACAGGGATGAAACCCCGACTCCAGAAGCTCATCTGAAAGCTGTAGATGACCAGACTCCATCGTTTCCTCATCATCGGTGTGCATACGGTACGAGGTCAGTGCAATGCTCATCATAATAAACCCTTCGCTGCACGTTTGTCTTAGTTGGGAACGTCTGACTAGTTTATGGTCTGTGTGAATCGAAACATTCAGACTTTCACATCAGAACTATGAGGGTAAATTTCAGTTCACAAACATCAATATTTTCTTCTCAAATTCAAATCTACAAGCTCTCGAATTTATTATTTTAAAACAACTTTCCAGCTAACAAGAGCAAGTTTAGTTGTGTGTGTTTCTACAGGAATGGAGGACACAAACACTTTTCTTTAACCCATGATTTGTCTTGCTCTTTATTGTCACATGTGAGAAAAGCAATAACTGACATTTAATTTCGTAACATATACACACTGCAAATTACTTAAACTATTTTATGGCAATATAATGAAAACACTGATGTACTTCTCAGACGGACGTCTCTCTGTAGAAGAAAGCGCTGATATACAAGCTGAAGCAAGAGGATGATGAAGATGAAGGTTTTCAGAGCGGATAATCTCCATCTTTACTGTAGCGGTGATGATATAGAGGAGATCCTGCGCTCTGACCGACGACAGACCAGATGATGATTCACATTCAACAAATATCTGCTCGTTCACACACTCATTCCTCCAAACACCGGATGAAATCTTCCCGTCGGCTCCTGATGTGATGAGCTCATGATCTGTGTCATTAATGTGTATTTGTGAAGGTCTTGTTCTTGTAAAGTTGATCCTGCGGTTTATCTTCTCTTCCTCTGATGGCAGCGTAAGTCACGGTATCATGATCCTGAAAGAACAGATTCTGTCCATCAATGTTTGAACCACAGCGATTATTATTACCATTATTAGAGCATCATTTATCTGAGAGTCAAACTCGTGTGCTGGCGTCGACTCACATCCAGTGATTTTACTGGCTTTGTGTTGAAAGAAGAGACCTCAGAATAAGTCACATCATCTGTCTGCTCCTAAACATCAATGCAAACGTACAGAGAGTCGAGTTTAACACACATCTCTCTCACTATAACATGGAGAATAACACAAAAGCTTTTAAAGCGTAATGTTTGATGATTTAGAGACTCACATCGGCTCTTAGATCAGGAGGAATGGACATGTTGATCGTCTCATACGTCCCTTTATGTTCATCCTCATCTTTGACCTTCAGAATAAACAGTTCAACTGCATGAATGACACTTTATTGAGCTTTAAAGACAATAATCAAATCTAAATCACTGCATTCCTGAACTCACCGCAGAGTCGCCAGTCCCGACTTTATTATCTGAAAACAAGTGCCTCGTGAAATATGAGTATTTATGCACAATCAGAGTTTGTTGAAGCATTAAATGATTGTTGACTTGATATCTCGTTGAGATTGACATTACAGGAGCAGGAGATTTCATATAATCCACATGATTCTGAATGTGATGTGTTTGTTTGCTCATCTGAACTGTTTTTAATTGTTGTAAAGGAGTAAATGTGAATCTCACCAGCTGTTTTTCTGCAGATCAGCCAGAGAAGAGCAAGAAGGAGAACAGCGACTGCAGCGACAGAAATCCCTATGACTGAAGAAGAGATCGAGCTCAGAGTCAGAGACGGACAGGCCAGACTGAGGACAATTATAGACAGAAGATGTGATTATGAACCTGTGATTGCAGGAGAGTTTGTGCCTGGTGTTGTTGAATCAGCTTGATCTGAAAAGGATGAATTTTAGTTGAGATGCTTCATAATAATGTCCAGGATGAGGAGGACACGAGGTGAGGCGTAGCAAACTACATTGTTTACTGAAACATAATTTGTTGCAAAGAAAGGAACAAAGAGGATCAGGTGATATAGGTTTTTAGCATCATAAAGTAGAATACACTAATCTTATTCCTGACCTGATTAATATTTACTTTATACATAATACTTTCTTGCCACAGATCAGACATTCTGAATTTCTATTTTTAAATATATTACAGGATTTTTAGACACACACAGACATCAAGAATCAACATATGAATCTCAACAATGGTGACATGCTTCACGCCGCAATGCATGCTGCATACTCATGGTTCCCAGTATGATTTACGGCTCAACATCTCGTCTTCATCTGATGCTTTCTGGGAGAATCGAGTGAAAGAACCGGAGTGTTTCATCAACACACGACTCTCATTGTTTATACTGAACATGTCATGTAATATGCATAAGTACGCTAATTACACACACCACACGAGTCCATGAAATGAAGCTAACACAACTCAATGTGCCAATGGTCCTGTAGAATATGACAGTCATATTTAGATGAGTGAACACTGAAGATAACTCCAGCATTACACACTGAAAAGCACTGATGTGAGAAAGACAGTGATGATGTACCTTTAGAAACGTGTGTGTTTATAGTTGAGGGATCCTGAGAGTGTGTGATGTGGACTGGATTCACTGCTGTCGTTGAATCAGCTTGAGCTGTGAAGATCAATGTTAGTTCAGATGATTCATACTGTACAATATGAGCATCATATTTTAACTGTGATCATCACATTACATAAAGAGTGAACAGTTGGACTGTGACTTCACTGCAGTTCATTAGTTTGAAGCAACGCTTTGAGTTCCTCTTCTGTGAGAGTCAAAGAAGCTTTTGTTCCCTCAGTTTGTTCTGGTTCAGTGATACTGATAGACCTCAGTGTTCCTGACATCATGAGGCTCTTCTAACACTGTTTCCTCACCTGAATACTTGACAGTGTATCTGACTGACGTCTGGACTTGATTTCCCAGAGTAAGCTGACATCTCCACTCTCTGTTGTCATCTTCATCCAGGAGTGTTGTAGTCAGAGTGATGATACAGCGATGTGGAGATGATGATGATGATGATGATGACGATGATGATGATGATATCTGATATCTGGAGTCTGTCTTCAGATCAACACCAGCCTGATTCACCCACAACAGCTCAAATCCCTCAGAACTGACCCAATAATCACAGGACTCTCTAGAATACAACTGACAGGAGAGAGTCACAGAGCGGCCTGGACTGATCTCAGTCTGTGAGGATGAAGATGATGATGATGATGATGAAGACACTGAAACTGAACACAAGACACAAATCACAGACTCTTCAATCATCATCTGAGTTTAAAGGGAGAATCTGCTCTTTTTATATTGAACACATAATCATAAACTTACCATGAAGAACATGCAGATAAACATCAGCATCAGTTCCTTGTAGTTCTCCGTTCACATATTGTCTGCAGGTGTATACTCCATAATCTTCTCCTGTGACGTTCTTGATGTTCAGAGAGCAGTCAGACTCCAGACTCAGTCTCTCATGTCTCTCTGTGTCTTTATTCTTTATCCCTCCAGTAATCAGTTCAACCCATGTATGTCTGAATCTGTTATAGTAGGTCCATGATGTTGATTTGCAGTCAGAAAGATCTTTATTACAGGACAGAGAGACATCTACACCAGAACTGATGAACACACGATCCGCTCCACTGGTTCCTGAAACACAGTATATCTCAGTGATCATGATGATATAAACAGAAGTATTAAATGATGATATTTGTCCTCTCGACTGCATCTGAGAGTGTTAAAGCTCTGTTGTAAAGCTGCCCAGTTTCGGCTGAGTTTGGATCGCTCTTTGAGTTGTAAGTTGATGCGAGCGCGGATACATGGAGTTACTGGAGCAGTTTTGCTTCTAGACGGCGAGGATGTGGACCATCAGTGTGCTTTTTCTCCCGTAAGTTTGATAAACATCAAGGGAATTACTCGACAGTTGAAAAGGAAACTTTGGCGTTGTTGTTTTTCTTGCAGTTCTGTGAAGTTTACTTCGGCTCTTCCATCCGGCACACTGTTGTCTATAGGGGTCACAACTCCCTCCTTTTACTTTCCCGTATGTATAATGCTAATCAACGGCTGATGCGCTGGCCTTTATTTCGACATATATAAAAGGGAAGTGATGTCACGTGACGTACGTCGGACACACTTAGTTCTGATTTATTTAGTTTACACACACTAGGTTTAGGGGCATGTGCCGTTCGCTGTCATTGTTCTTTTGATAGATAGAGTAGGGAAGTATAGGGAAGACTTTTCTTTCTACATTTTTCTTCTGTATTCGGAAGGTTTAGTTGAAACGGGTGAGAAAGATCCTTTCTGTTTTATTCTTTTCTTTGTGTTGGCTCTGTCCAGTTTTCCCTTTTTCCTCCCCAGATCGCTTCATTTTTCTTCTTTCTCATCATTGCACATAATACATTTGTTCCCCTGTTCTCCTGCTGTTTCTCAGCGGTCTTATTCACTCTCTCAGTGTTTAATGGTAACAATGATCCTGTCTCCTTCTCTGTCTCCCTCTGCTGGACACACACACACACACACACACACACACACACACACACACACACACACACACACACACACACACACACACACACACACATCAGCTGTTTTCTGTTTTCATTCTGCTCATTCCTCTCCACCTGTTCCTCATCTCCTCTCATTATCTTGTCTTCTTCTAAGCCTCTCTTTCTCTGTCTTGTTGTCAGATTGTTGGATGTCACAGTTACTCGTTGGCCAGTGTTTTTACAGTCCTGTCTGTCCTACAGAATAACTTCTACGGCTAAAAAAAGGAAGAAATAAACGAGGCAGTGAATAAACTACAACCGCAGTTGGAGGAGTTGGGCTTGTCCGGAAAGCACGACAGAATGGATGAAACGAACCGGATTCATGTGATCCCTCTTTAATGAGGTATTTAAAGATAAACTGCTTTATAAACCTGAAGTGGTAATTGCACACAGAGTGGGGTCTGTTACAAAACATGGATCGAGATCGATGATCGTCAGGATGCAGAGGCATGCGGTGAAAGAGGCTATTCTGCAAATAGCAAAGCAAGAAAAGTCCAACATTTTAAAGGGATGAATGTCAAAATCTTTCCAGATTTAACAGCAGAAGTGTCCAAGAGAAGAGCGCAGTTTAAAGATCTGAGAATGAAATTACATCAGGAATAACACACGGTTTGATTTATCCGGCGACACAGATTATAACATTTAATGGAGACTCAAAATACTTCCAAGATCAGAAATCGGGAGACATCTACTACAGTCAAGTGATTGGACCGATGCGGACTATTGCTGCCCATGTTATGGGGCTAAAGATATATGTTCACATGTTTGATATACAAACTGCCTCTGCAAGTGACTGTTTAATTTAGTTTAGTGAACAACAGGGAATGTTAATGAGCAATTAGAAAATGTGGACCTGAATTGGATAAGAGTAATATAGCAGTTAATGCAGAGACGAGATGATGATAACACTGAGTTGAGGAACTTCACTTGTGATTGTCTTGTGATCATCATATCTGTCTTGCAGGATTGCATGCAACAGCTCATCATTAAATGTGTTGCACCAGAAACGACGCCTGCTCCTTTCTACATGTGTAACACATCGCATGTGATTTACCCGTTCAGTGTGAGTAGGTACTGTTAAAAGTCCGTGCCCTTACGTAGACTACGTTACCCATAATGCATGCGTTCATTGTAGTTCCGATCGCTCGCGGTTGCGCGAGCCGCTTTCACTTTCGGTGCGGTCTAGTTATGAGAAGCAGCATCCTCAGAGCAGAAAACTGACATCCTTTGTTAATCCTTCGCTAATATTGTGTGTAAGAGCGCTGTGTGCGTCCTTGAGATGTAAGTACGGTGTTTTGCATAAATTATGTTCAATACAGAGTTATTAGCTCAGATGAGGAGATTGTTAATCGTGTAACTCAATACTACTATAACGTTTCTTATCCAAATCGCTCTGCATTCCCTCATATAGTAGTCATTTACTGTGTATACTTTAATTATTGCTTTGCAAATAACCCCAAATATTATATTTAATGCATAGATTGCCTGTTTTTTGGCATTTTTCACTGTGTGGAAATTTGTGGTAATTATGCAAGTTCATTTATAGGGTTAAAGCTCCCTCTAGAGGATTTTGGTTGTACTACGGTCCATTTCTTTATGCAACTGCATGAAACTATCCTACATGTTTGTTAATATACACTTTATTGTATTTTCTGTTTCAGATAACCACACACACACTCACACATACACCCATTGACACATATTGTGTCATATTGATATCTGCAAACTCTTATCCTCCATGTACCTTACTCCTCAATAAATATGTAAACTGCACCATTGGATTTGCCTATTCCTTCTGACCGAGGAAGACTCAGTTGATGAGCAATCTATAATCAGCCGCAGACGCACACGCACACGGTCTCTCACAGGTACCGTGCTGAAATGGCACAGACATCGCACAGTGTATGCCCGCCTTAAGCAATATAGCGATTTCTTTTTAACGTTGGTTCATCGTCAACCTGTTTGTATGAGTCACTCATGAAACGTAAATTCAGCTGCAGCCAATATAGTGATTACGCGACCCACCTCTTCCCAATCTGAGACCCACAAATGGGTCAGGACCCACAGTTAGAAAACCCCTGGCTTAAACCAATAGCTGCCATCATTGCAATCATTGCGTCCTCTGTAACGTTCCTGGGCTCGGTCATCTCTGCAGAGGGGATCAGTCTGGAGACCACTACTGTCCGACTGTTGCCGACTGACCCGTCCCTGATTCTCGTGTCTCGTTACAACGCTTTCTCGGCTTTGCTAATTTTTATCGCCGTTTTATATGCAATTTTAGTCGAGTGGCCGCACCGTGTTAACCTCAGCTAAGTCCTGTTTTAGATGGTCAGAGTCAGCTCAAGAGGCGTTTGACGGTCTAAAAACTCTCTTTACCTCTGTGCCCATTCTTCTCACTCCGGATGACAGTTTATGGTCGAGGTCGCCGCTTCTGAGGTGGGGTAGGTGCCGTTCTTTCTCAGCGGTCAGCCTCTGATGGTAAGATACACCCGTGCGCTTACTTTTCTCATCGACTCTCTCCCGCAGAACGTAATTACGATGTCGGTAATCGCGAACTGCTTGCCATCCGCCTGGCTTTGGGGGAATGGTGACAGTGGTCAGAGGGCTCCACCGTCCCTTTTATTGTCTGGACTGACCATCCGCTAGAGTTTGAATGCGCGTTATTGTGAACTTTTACTTCTAAAGTGTTTGAAAACTCAGAAGCGAAAACCAGGAGACTCGGAAGTATCTTTTTAAGCCGTGTTCTTTATTGCTGTTGCATTGCTGTAGTCTGCTTCATCCAAAAATCTGACTAAAGGCAAAATACTTTGTGTTCATACACCTTACAAGGGGGAGGGGTTACATAGAGGTGTAGACACTCTGAAACAAAGCATGTAAATGAGGCATAGGATTCAGCTCGTTACTGGAAATTCCCCATCCCTGATCTCATCAGCATAACAGTGTCATGTAGAGATGGTAATCCAATCAGCCTCATTGTATCACCCACACCTTTACATTATCATAGAGCTTAATGGGGAGGGGTTACATCGAGGGGAGACACTCTGAGCATAACTATTCAGATTGAGTCTGGGGCTTCCAGAGCCATTAAAACAGTCTGTCTTTGAGTTGGACTCGAGAGCTTCTTAAAATATACTAGGCCGTATTTCTGTTCAAGGAAGTTGTTCTTCAGTCCTGTTAGTATGCCGAATTGAAATGTTTATTTATTTATTTATTTTTTTTAAGAGTGGGAGTTTAAGTTTAAGACATTAAAAAATGTGTTCATGCGCATTATACCTCTGTGCTGAATATTGTTTAAGATTTCACATGACTGTTTACCGGGAATAAAATGTGACTCATATTATGAAGTTCCCGGAAGTGCAGTTGTTGTTAGAGCACCAAAGAGGTGGTGTAACGTTTGGTGTTGACGAATAAACGGATGATCGATTCTGAAGTGTATCTTTTTGTATAACGTGTGTGTATCAATACACAACTCTGAGATCACAACGTGAATGTGTGCAAGAATAAACTGAGCATGTTCAAATCAACTCTTTCCAGACTAATTCCACTAAATGTGTTTAGAGAAAATACAGATTTCTTTACCTGTGAGAAGTGAAGAGAGAATGATCAGTCCCAGCAGACACAGATCACACTGATCAGACATTTCTGCTTCTGTCCGTCTTCCTCTTCATTAGATATAGTGACAGCTCTTCCTCTTCATTATATATAGTTACAGCTCCTCCTTTAATCATCATCAGCTCCTCCTGTGGTTATTAACTTCCTCTCATCTGATCAACTGTTTACATCCGTTGCTATAGTGACACTATGTCAGTCCATGACAGTGAAGTGTTGCTCTGTATGTCTGTGTGTGTGTGTGTGTGTGTGTGTGTTGTGAGAAGTGCATTTCCTGTTAATGTCACTGGCTCAACACACATCTGATCTGGGGTGCGTTTCCTGACAGCATCGTTAGCCAACTATGGTCACAAGTTGGTCGCAAATTCCATTGAACTCTATTGGTAATGACAGGACTTGCGACCATATTTGACTAACGATGCTTTCGGGAAATGCACCCCTGAGCAGTTTATTGGCTACTTTTGCACAGAGGAGCATTACTGTTATTTTGTCCTGTTCTTGTACTCAATCTTTTGATCCAGAAATACTTAAAGTATACTACATAAAATGAACTTGAAATATACTTCTTTCACTGTCAAGCAGACTTTGCGTTTTTACCGTTTAAACGGGAACGCGGCGGTGGAGCGTTTTTAAGATTTCCACTCTGGACGGTGGTTTCACTTTTTTACAGTTTTCACCCGCGAGCGTTCTCGTGTAAACAGGGCCTTAAAAGTATTCTACAGTTGTAGTACTATAAGAGAAAGAGATAAAACATCAGATTAAAGTAAAAGACGATCAAATGTTCAGGAGGGAACGAGATTTACAGCTTTACTGTGCTGTGAGTGAATGAGTGAATGGGACTCTATGGGGCTAGACGGCTAAATGCGTCTCTTTCACCCGATTGCCGTTGAGAAATCTCAGATTTGATCGTAGGTTTTGCGAGTTCAACATGGGTTATAGGTCGAAAGTTGAATGAACGAGTTCTTATATCCTTTTCATTTCTTACAGCTTGAGTTGTTGTTGCCCATAATACGCTAGCATTCTGCTGATTGGTCAGTGAAGGACTGATTACGACCAGAGACACCGCTTACAAACTTTTATTTTCTGGTAGACGGCAGCGTTGACCTTTTACCTCAGAAAACACAGTGGACCGACACCAGCAGATGACATGGCCAGACCATCACTGACTGTGGAGACTACACTGGAGTGTGGATTCTGTGCCGCTCCTCTTCCTCCAGACTCGGACCTTGATTTGCAAAGGTAATGCAGAATTTACTTTCATCAGAGAACATGACTCTGGCCCACTCGGCAGCGGTCCAGTCCTTCTGTCTTCAGCCCAGGCGAGGCGCTTCTGCCGCTGTGTCTTGTTCAAGAGTGGCTGGACACGAGGAGTGCGAGAGCTGAAGCCCATGTCTGGCGTACGTCTGTGTGTGCTGGTTCCTGAAGAACTCTACAAACCTTGAACTGGAGATTGTTCACTGGTTCGGAGAGCACCAGCTGGACCCAGTTATCTGCCCTGTGGTTGCAGTGCTGGAGTTCCCGCAGGTCTATCCCCCTCCACACTAAAGGTGTACATGGCGGCCTTAGCTGCTGGCCACGTATCCTTGGGGAGACACCCTGTAGTACGTTTCCTTTGCGGTACTGTGAGGCGTCTGACCAAGACACTAGGAGTACGGCTGCCTCAAAGGCTATGAGTTGGATCTAGGCTCCACTCCGGGGTCTAGGGTGTTTGCTTCTTAGTGTGCGCAATGACTTCACACAGAGCAGACATTTGCTGGTCTCGACCCAGCTTGAGTTCCCTTGAAAGGGAGCGTCTCAGGTTATGACTGTAACCCTGGTTCCCTAAGAGGGAACGAGACGCCGCGTCGTCCGCCATACTCCCTGCATGCATGTGATCGACTTGCTTCGGCCTATCAGAACCTTCACCTCTTTGTCTGGTCTCATCCCTACGTGATCTCACAGACTATCCAAACAGTCTGATTAGGCCCAAACTCGAGGAACCATGTGTCCACTAAAGAGCAGATGAGACAGATCCCCAACTCTCTAGACCGATACCAGAACCAGCAGAACCAGTCTATAAACTCATCAACTGTGTTCAGAGATGATCACGGCTCTATTCTGGTCAAACTGTGAGTCATGTTTCCCAGACCTCAACAGTGAGATCACAGCTATAAAAACACTACGGAAATCACGTAAAGAGCCCAGTCCACAGACACCTCGCCCTCTAAAGAGAAATCTAGTATTAAAATTCTCATCATGAGGCAATGGAGTTTGGCCAAATATTCCTTAAAGTTAAACTAAACTAAAATAATCGTTAATGGAACCCAACATATTTTATTACAGTTCCCATCCCTAATCATTAATAATATTCAGAGGCTGCTTAGAGAGATCGAACAATAAACGAACCCGCTTCAGTCTAAGGGAGAGGCGCTACACGTGTATATGTTAAAGTATCATCAACCATGTAACACACATTTTGGCGCTGTCACACTCCTGACAATATGAGTGTGTAAATCATTGATATTTATTGACACAGTGAAGTGTCTTTACATGTGTGTTAAACATGTCTGAGAAGTGCACTGCAACACACATCTGCTCTGAACACACGAGAGCATTACTGATAGTTTCACTTCCTTATTTGAGCAGTTTCCTGCAGGCGTTCAATTCTAGAAATAAAATCATGAAATTATTTCCCACTATCCATGACTCCTGAATTAAAACAATTTTTATAGTATTTAAAAGTCATTATTAGCATCAGTTCCAGTTTCTACTCATAGATTATAATGTGTTGTTTACTCTGAGGAAAACAGATCTGATCCAGACTCCTTTATCAACACTACAAATGATCTGGTAGATCTGGGATGTATTTCTCAAGCACCACTGATTTAACTTCCGGCTCCCTGAACTCCTGACTACTGTCTCAATGATGTTCTCCATCTACATGTCATCATCAGAAACATGGTTTCTCCATCACTGTTCTCATCTAGATACTGGAGTGCCTCAGGGCTCAGTGCTGGGACCGCTTCTCTTCTCCATCTACATGTCATCACTAGTGTCTGTCATTCAGAAACATGGTCTTTAGCTATAGAGACGCACACGTCACTCCTCTCCTCATGAACTTGCACTGGTTTCACAGTGCTGCACACACACATATTTCATCAACACTTGAGCCTTTAATACTCACACTTACTCTTCTATATTACCATACATTACGAGCTCATGAAGGGGAACATCTCAGGAAAGGAGACATATTAAACACAACTGCAGAGGTTTATTAAGAATATTAGTAGCAATCATTCAACATGAAAAACAGATGAGGAATCAATAATACAATAATCCTCAGATCATCTCCATCACACAGAACAGAGAGACGATTATACAAGCCATGTTTCCATCCACTTGTCAATCGAATTATCTGAAATTCGGTTAAAAAACTCATGCGGATAAAGCTGGTGAAAGTGTGTTTCCATCCAACGGCTTTAAAGCGAATAAAAACCTGTACGTAATGACGTCACATGCTGTTTTGCGATCAAATTGGTATATCGAATTGATTTGAGACATTTTAAGGTGTTTCCATTTATTTTCGCACTGAATTGAACAACATTCAAGCAAACTTTTTTTCATATAAATCAACCAAATAAATAAATAAATCAATAATTTGACACAAAATATTGACTTAAAAACGAGTTTATTGATTTAAAAACGAGTATTGCTTCTGCTAAAGAAAATAGTCTGTTCCGTCTCTGAACTGCGTCCATGGCAACGGTGTGTTATACTAGAAGCGCCGCAGTCTGTTAACTAGAAATAACAAACCACATACATTACAATTCAACCAAACCACGTAAAAACAAGCAAAACTAACCTAAGAAAACAGCGACGCTATAAACATTGCTATGATGATGCCCGTTTATGCCCGACGACAGCGGAGGTGACTGTGGTTTGGGAACGACAGCGCTCCATCAGTTCTGGGAGATCGTGGTTCACGGAAACCCTTTGGTTGAAGCATCTTTTTGCTTTGTCCACTTACATCTGTCTTTGTTGACATCCGCCATGTGTGCGCAAACAGACTGGCCGGAAATGGTAAAAATAAAGACTTGAGCCGGACAAATACTCACAAATACTACGATACTCACAAAGAGCCGGAAAAAATAAAGACTTGAAGACTTGAATAAACTCGTCTTTTGGCGTGTTGCAACCATAAAAGGGCATAAAACTTAATCGCAATTCATTATTTATTCGGCAAATAACGTTTCCATCAGCTTTTACCGCATTAGCCGTATATCGATCAAGAGATAATCCGATGAGACCGAACGTATTTCATTTGAGTCGATTTTCATGAAATTTCATCGAATTTTACTGTTTCCATAAGGCATTTTTCATTCGATATCACTTAATTCGGATAAAAACGCGTCGATGGAAACATGGCTACTGTCTGCGTCTGTCCATTACTGTATTTAATATTATATTTACAGCAGTTTACAGATGAAGCTCAAGAACATGACTGTAGGCAAATATCCATAGAAATGAAAAGAAATCCTAATAAAAGTATTATTGAGATAAAAAAGTGTTTGCTATTGTAAATATTGCTGCAGATTGTGAACTCATCAGTGTTTTACTGTAATATTGTGGGCATCTCTATTTCCTCCGGGGGCTTCGAGTCCTTCCTCCCTGCAAAATAAAAGCATTGCCTGACCTCTGGTGTGTGTTTATCATGATTGCAGATGTTCAGATCAGACGAGTGTGAATCTTCAGAGTGTGTGCGGCTCAAACTCACCAGCTCTTCTTGCACAGATGATCTGAAGAAGAATCACAGTAGGAGCAGCAAACACTGCCATCTCAACAATACTCACAATCACTGCAGGAAACATGAGAGGAAGAAGAAGAGAAACTGGACATGACTGAAGTCAAGGGTCTTCATCTATCAACAGTTATTGATGAAGCATTTACAGACGGACTGATAGTGTAATGTTAGAAAGCTGTCCGTCTAAATCAACGTGTCGTACCTCTGTATAATAATCCAGCACTCACACCGACGACAGTTTCTGATGCCGGATCAACTGTGGAGATCACGTGTGGTCCTGTAGAATATGACAGTCATATTTAGATGAGTGAACACTGAAGATAACTCCAGCATTACGCACTGAAAAGCACTGATGTGAGAAAGACAGTGATGATGTACCTTTAGAAACGTGTGTGTTTATAGTTGAGGGATCCTGAGAGTGTGTGATGTGGACTGGATTCACTGCTGTCGTTGAATCAGCTTGAGCTGTGAAGATCAATGTTAGTTCAGATGATTCATACTGTACAATATGAGCATCATATTTTAACTGTGATCATCACATTACATAAAGAGTGAACAGTTGGACTGTGACTTCACTGCAGTTCATTAGTTTGAAGCAACGCTTTGAGTTCCTCTTCTGTGAGAGTCAAAGAAGCTTTTGTTCCCTCAGTTTGTTCTGGTTCAGTGATACTGATAGACCTCAGTGTTCCTGACATCATGAGGCTCTTCTAACACTGTTTCCTCACCTGAATACTTGACAGTGTATCTGACTGACGTCTGGACTTGATTTCTCTGAGTAAGCTGACATCTCCACTCTCTGTTGTCATCTTCATCCAGGAGTGTTGTAGTCAGAGTGATGATACAGCGACGTGGAGATGATGATGATATCTGATATCTGGAGTCTGTCTTCAGATCAACACCAGCCTGATTCACCCACAACAGCTTAAATCCCCCAGAAATGACCCAATAATAACCCGATCATCACAGGAGTCTCTAGAATAAAACTGACAGGAGAGAGTCACAGAGCGGCCTGGACTGATCTCAGTCTGTGAGGATGAAGATGATGATGATGGAGACACTGAAACTGAACAAAAGACACAAATCACAGACTCTTCAATCATCATCTGAGTTTAAAGGGAGAATCTGCTCTTTTTATATTGAACACATAATCATAAACTTACCATGAAGAACATGCAGATGAACATTAGCATCAGTTCCTTGTTGTTCTCCGTTCACATATTGTCTGCAGGTGTATACTCCATAATCATCTCCTGTGACGTTCTTGATGTTCAGAGAGCAGTCAGACTCCAGACTCAGTCTCTCATGTCTCTCTGTGTCTTTATTCTTTATCCCTCCAGTAATCAGTTCAACCCATGAACCTCTGAATCTCTTAACGTAGTCCCATGATGTTGATTTGCAGTCAGAAAGAGTTTTATTACAGGGCAGAGAGACATCTACACCAGAACTGATGAACAGATCCTCCACTCCACTGGTTCCTGAAACACAGTATATCTCAGTGATCATGATGATATAAACAGACGTATTAAATGATGATATTTTTCCTCACTGTTGCTCACTCTTCCCCCAGCGGTGCTGCAGACTTCCAGACTCAAACAGTAAGTATGGCAGGTGAGGATATTCACAGTACACAGTACTCTCTCTTCAGTTCACAATAGGGAGACAGTGAGTCATAAGGTTACTTTACCAGCGATGCTGTGTGCTTCTGGGCTCAAACAGCACGTAGAACAGGTGGGGATATTCACAGTACACAGTACTCTCTCTTCAGTTCACTGTATCACTCTGGGCTTCTGACGGGGGGCAGATATAATAACCTTCCACGAACATGTAAGCATGGATAAGGGCCACTTCTCAACAAAGACACAGCACACTTGTGTTCACTTCAATTCCACAGCAATAAATCAATGTGTATCAATAAGGCAAAAGCACTGCAATTCACTCACACGATAGGGTTGGACAGAGGCCCCACTCCGTCCGTTGCGCTCGTTTACAGGGGTTTCACTTTTAATTCCTCCTCATCACACTCTGAAACACATAGCTCCTCCAACAGTCAGATCCACATTCACTGTATCCTCTTCAAACGGTTCAAATGTTCATAAGATGAAAACAATTCACTTATCTTTCCTCTCTCCTTCCACAGCACAGATCCAGTCCTAGCTCGGTTCAGCGGTCTTCCCACAAACGATCACTCTGACCCAGCAGCCTCAAATGGGTGATCTCCACACTCCAACGATTTTTCCAAGGAAGCCTGTATCCAGCACTGCCCAGAGTCAACCCACTTTAATGTCTGATCTTGTCAACCCTTTGGACTCTTCACACTCTGTACACCCACCGAACGCGCCCCAAACACTCTCTGAATGCCCCTTTTATATCGTGGCTTATGAAACAGGGAGCCTGTGTGAGCGCCGCTCCTCTCTCTCACACACCTGCAATGCATTAGCGCTAATCAGTACGGGCATGTTTCCATCACACCCGGAACCGTAGTGGAGTGTTGCACCCAATACGTTCCCCTAGGAAACTCAGGACTCTCAAGAAGGTTCCGTTTACTGAGCGATTTTGTCACCCGTGACCGTTACAAAACACACTTGAGTTCAGATTGCGCACCAGAGGAGAGAGAGAGAGAGGTTTACAAAACTTTATTTAAAACACTTAATATTCAACAAATAACATTATTTGTATATATGGAAAAAAAAAACACATTAAAATTCCAAAACCAAATTTCCATCGTAACCAACACAAAGCATCATTAACACACCACATATCACTGAAACCCTTCTCATTATTTACAAGACTATAGTATGCAAATTCTATCTTTAGTCTACCAGCCACTAATTTCAAAAACATCACGTCAACATTAATACTTTTATGCTGCAATCCTTGATTTTTCCTGGTTTTCCATATTGTCAATTTCGCAGTTCCTGTTAAATAATTTAACAGACACATCTTCCTTCTTTTTGAAAAATTATATCACACCCCCTATAAAAACTTCCTCTGAGAAATCTTCACCAAAACTTGAAACAATCTATTAAGAACTTCAGAAAGACCTTCCAGTCTTTAACAATTTAAAAACAAATGTTCTAGATTTTCTTCCTCTCCACAAAACCTGCATCCCACCCCTACTGCTGGGTTCAGGTGTGCCACATGTTTGTCCGAAATAAGTATATACTAAAGTGCAACAAATTAAATGTCCATCAGAGGGCACCAGCGTCATTGAAGCTTAGCCTTTTGCACACCCGCCCCCGAATTTCTTTAACGAATTTGTAATTAGAGAAAAGGCTTATTAGTCTTTGCTGGTGTCATCAGGTAGGGCAGGCAGTTTAATCAGACGAGCCACAGGCCTCGTGTAACTTTTGTCTTTGACATTCACTACCGCTGTGCGGACTCGTCCATCTTGTCCGGGAATGACTTTGGCTACAGTACCTGTTTGCCATAAGGCTCTGGGTGCTTGCTAGTCCACAATCACCACAACTTCACCAATTTGAAGGTTGTCTGATTCTCTTTGCCATTTTTGTCGTCGTTGCAAGTCAGGGAGGTAATGCCATATGAAACATTTCCAGAAATTTTCAATTAGAATCTGGCTATGGCGCCATCTCCTACGACTGTGTTTTGCGAGGCTCAGTTCTTTGGCTGTAAAAGCTCTTTCAATAGTGAAGGATTTGTTTGGCTGAAATGCAGAAGCTACTGAGAATGAAACAGCCACCCCATGAACAACCCGTATGTCTTGTCTCACAGTACGGAAGGCTATATCTTCAGGAAGTCCTGTGCTGCTTCATACAGTAACATTGTCTTCTCTGATCCGTCATCCAATATAGCGTATGTGTCAAGTTCCTTCTCTCCATTTCTCAAGATCACTCGGCTGACCTTCAAAAGAACTTTGCTGCCTGCAGTTGGTCTGTCCATATACAAAGTCTCTACTTCTGAGTTCACAAGACAACCGTTTTCTGCTGAAGCTTGTGTTTCATGTTTACCTTTGGCATTGAAGTCATGCAGTATTTCTAAATGTCTCTTTTCACATTTGGCTTTAAGATTGCATTGTGAGATCTGGTGGTCACGGCCACACCTAAAGCACTTCTGATTTGACTTCAGCCAAGACTCCACTTGATCTTGATTCAGCAGTTTGAAATTAGCGCACTGATTGAAGTAATGCTGCACAGTGTTGCAGAAGGGCAGTACTTTGTCGGTTTCTCCTTCTTGACTGCTGTAACACTTGCTGGTTTACTCTGTTCGCCACCATCCAAGACAGTAGCAAATCGTTGAACCGGCTTGCAATTCCTTTGCTGTTCTCTCGGTGGCTGAGAGTAGGCTCTGCTTACATTACTAACGTACTGGGACTCATCCTCTTGTATTCTGAGCTCATGTTCAAGCCAATCGCTGAGTTCTATCAGTGTTGGAACTGGGTTCTGAATGGGGTTAACAAACCTTCTGAAGTTTGCTTTAAGATCATGAGGCAATTTGGCAAGGAGACGTGAAACATGTGACCCACATTTGAGCTCGGTCCATCCTTTAGCTCCAAGTTGGTCCAGCATTCCAACTCATGCACGCACATTGAGGGCAAACATTCTCAAAGATTTAGTGTCACCACTCCTGATTTTTGGGCCATCCATCAATTCTGCAATTCTTTGTAGTGCGAGTTGATGTGGTTGACCATAAAGTGCAGTTAGAGACCTCATGGTGTTGGTGTATGGGTACCTGCTGTTGACGTACATGTCTGCAATGAGCAAGGCATTCTCCTGTTTCAGATCAACGAGTATTTGGTACTTGAAACGTTCTGTAGCCTCGGCAGGTAGCAAATTCTCCAGTGCAATTTTGAGTCATGCAAACTCTCTGGGATCTTCACTGCAAAAATCAGAAATGGTGGGAATAGGACCTCTGTAGGTGGGCTCTACATGAGGATATGGAAGAGAAGGAGGGCGCACTGGGTGGTATGGCTGATATCTCAGGCTGAGCGTAATCTGCGTACTGTCGTGGGGGTCAAGAAGCTTGATTTGTCTGTAGGATTAGGAGCTGATTGACCATAGTTGTCTTAGTGTCTCATGTGCATGGTGAGCTAATGTATCCCTTGGAGAAAGTCTCTCATCTTGATAGACTGGACTTGTAGCTGGAATCCCATGATAAGGTTGCTGATAACCATATGGTTCAGTGGAAGGGAAATAGCTGACGGGTTTGCAGTTCAGACTATGATCTTTATAAGTCCCATACGTAGCTGCTGTCTCTTGACTATAGTCCTGAGCCATAAACTGAACAGCTGCGGGATATTGGTTGCGATCTCTTTGGTCAGTGGACATATAGTTATGGCCTCAGTGGTCTGTGTTGTAGTAACCACGTGGTCTATCTATGTGCCTAATACCAGGTTGAGGATATGTAGCATCTTCTTGATGGGCTAGCTTGTGTTGGGATTGTGTTGGTTCATAAGAAGAGAAAGGATGACTTGAAGTTAGCCGAGTTGCCGAGCCTGGTAGTCTCAGGTCTCCTAGATTGTCAGTGAGATAATCTCTTTGTGACTGACAGAATGAGAATGCAGAAGGTCACCTCGTGAATTAACAGACGGTGAAGAGAAGGGGAAACGTCTTGATCTCTAGGCAGAACTGTCCTGCCCTCAGTGGCTGCTGTATATGGACTTGAGGAGAGAACTCTCTGATCTGCATAAATAATTCGCCTTGGAGAAGTCCGAGTACGGGGCATTGGCCTCGGCGGTTTGTTGGGCCAGTTGCTCCCCTCCATGAGATATACAGCTTTGTTTGTAAAGGACACCATTGCAGACTTTGACACCGTTACATCTGCGAGAGAAAGTCCAAACAAACAGTGAAGAATATCAACTTTGTGGCTTAACGTGCATGTCTTGTAAAGATGATAAAGAGTATAGTTCAGATCAGCCAATAGCTCACCTGTTCCCTCCTCAGTAACATTCCCATTTAATAGCAATGTTTCTTGCATTTGGTCTTCAAATTTGGTGTTGAAAAACACTGACGCATCAACAGTAAGAGAGGCATAGCCCGTGGCATTCATCTGGTAGGAGAACAAAGACACAATTAAGTCAAGCACAGGCAAAAGGAAAACCCTCAGCAGTAAGGCAGGAGTCACACACCTTTGCAGTTTGAGTCAGGCACTGTCCGGTCAAATTATGAAGCAGACTGTTTGGAAATGGATCACGGCACACTTCCACTAAGGCTTGACCAGGTACAGGTTGGCCATATGTACATCTGGGAATTATCATAACAAGATTAAGAACTGACCAACCACAGGACGACAAAATAAAGCATCACTCACTTGGCACAAGACTCAACTTTCAGTCCCATAACTGCAACGCTGTAGGTCTGCGGTGCGTATACGGTCACGTCAAACTTGGGCAAAACTAAACCAGAAACAAAGTGCTTTAGATTAAGGCCTCAGATCTGTCATTGAACTTCCCTTACACAACAACTTACCTTATTTTTTCACCTCAAAGACTTGGGAGACTAGTGTTGGGACTCTTCACTCCACGGCTACTCCATTCTGCGACACCTAGGTCTTCGTGTCTGATGGACGGACGGACGGACGGACGGACGCACGCACGGACGGACGGACGCACGCACAGACGGACGGACGGAAGGACGCACGCAAGCACGGACGGACGGACGCACGGAAGGATGCACGCACGGACGGAAGGACGCACGCACGGACGGACGGACGGAAGGACTCACGCACGCACGGACGGAAAGACTCACGCACGGACGGACGGACGCACGCACGCACGGATGGACGCACGCACGCACGCACGGACGGACGGACGCACGCACAGACGGACGGACGGACGGACGCACGGAAGGATGCACGCACGGACGGAAGGACGCACGCACGGACGGACGGACGGAAGGACTCACGCACGCACGGACGGAAAGACTCACGCACGCACGGACGGACGGACATCCTTCCAACCATCATATTAAAAGACCACATTCAGTAACAAAAGCTAGTATAGACCATTACAACACAAGACTACATTTTTTCATTTTATCTTTTAAGTCATGTACCAATTTCTAGAGTAAGAATCAAACTAACAGACATACCGACACTGAAGTTGCGATAAAAATTCGGGCCCTTGTACTTCAGACACTGGGGTAAACTAAAGTGGCATTCTAATCAGAAGTGCCACACACTGAAAGATCCAGATTAAAAGCTCAAACAAAAAACCTGATTGAGGCACACAGACACCCTTTCAGCACTCAGACGTCTTCCTGGCTCCATGATCCGGATGCTCTGATCTACCACACAGAGATCCTGCTTGAGCAGCAACCACCAGAACGTTTCCCTCCGCAGGAACAGCCGTAGCTGGAGAAAACTGCAGAGACACCTGGAACAAGGACCAATACGCTGTAGGACACAGACTAACATTCCCAAATTGAAAAATTGCCACATCATACAGTACCTGGTTCTGGAAATGCATATCGGTGTCAAACGGCACACTAGCAGCAACTGCATTCTCACTGGGAAGACCACTGTGGACCAGAATCTGCACTGCTGGAGCCATATCGACGCTGACAGACAACTGGAACGTCACAGAGCCACTTGTGACTGCATCACCAGCCTTTGCTTTACCGTCTGAAATCCATGGAGGATGATCACTCCTTTGGATAAGACCTGACAGAAGACATAGGTGTGCAAGTTGTGGAACAAACAGACCAGCAAACTTAACTACAAAACTAATGTCCACTCACCATATAGATTGTCATCGCTGTAGCTACCAGCCTCTCCAACAAATGAATACTCCACGGTCACTGGAAACGAAGCACCACATTTGAGCGGCTGATTGAGCTTCACTATAGTCAGTTCACTAAACGATGGGTTGTTGGGAGAAACAGGTAGGAGAAGCTGAACAAACCTTGTATCTGTAGTGAAGTATGGCGATTTATAACCATAAAAAACCTCTGGATTAGCACTCGCCTGGGGAAGATAAAACTTAATCAGTATCATGCGAGAGAATGTCTTAATTTTTACAAAATACAAGTCGTACCACCAGATTCAGATCAGCCTTAAGATTAGCAGTGTTTAGGGAGAACGCAGCCCATCAATTCTTGTTTGTGGTTAGATTCAACAGCAGTTTGTTGGGCCAGTTGCTCCCCTCCAAGAGATATACAGCTTTGTTTGTAAAGGACACCATTGCAGATTTTGACACCATTACATCTATAAGAGAAAGTCCAAACAAACAGTGAAGAATATCAACTTTGTAGTTTAAAGTGGATATCTTCTAAATATGATAGAGTATATGGTTCAAATCAGCCAATAGCTCACCTGTTCCCTCCTCAGTAACATTCACATTTACAAGAAATGTGTCTTGCATTTGGTCTTCAAATTTGGTGCCAGTGACATTCATCTGGTAGGAGAACAAAGACACAATTAAGTCAAGCACAGGCAAAAGAAAAACCCTCAGTAGTAAGGCAGGAGTCACACACCTTTGCGGTTTGAGTCAGGCACTGTCCGGTCACATTATGAAGCAGACTGTATGGAAATGGATCACGGCACACTTCCACTAAGGCTTGACCAGGTACAGGTTGGCCATATGTACATCTGGGAATTATCATAACAAGATAAAGAACTGACCAACCACAAGACAAGAAAATAAAAGCATCACTCACTTGGCACAAGACTCAACTTTCAGTCCCATAACTGCAACGCTGTAGGTCTGCGGTGCGTTTACGGTCACGTCAAACTTGGGCAAAACTAAACCAGAAACAAAGTGCTTTAGATTAAGGCCTCAGATCTGTCATTGAATTGCCCTCACACAACAACTTACCGTATTTTTTCACCTCAAAGACTTGGGAGACTAGTGTTGGCACTCTTCACTCCATGGCTACTCCATTCTGCGACACCACGGCCTAGTCGCAGTCGCCTAGGTCTTTGTGTCTCACTGCCTCATCGCTTCTCTGGCTACGTGGTGTGCTCCACCTCCATCACCTCTGGTAAATTCCCTTGGTAGTGTTGGGACTCTTCACTTCATGGCTACTACATTCTGCGACGCCGCCGTGGGATGCAGTCCTGACTGTGGGCTGGGTCTCCGTCTGCCCTTCCCTGCTCAAGGTCATCCCCCTGGCTGTCACCACCACCTGCACCAACCTTTTTTCCAGCTACGGACGGATGGCCGCCGTGGGATGCAGTCCTGACTGTGGACAGGGTGTCCGTCTGCTCTTCCCTGCTCAAGGCCTTGGAGGGATGGGACGGACGACTTGGGCGGACGGGACGGACGACTTGGGCGGACGGGACGGACGGACGACTTGGGCGGACGGGACGGACGACTTGAGCAGACGACTTGGGCGGACGGGACGGACGACTTGGGCGGACGGGACGGACGGACGACTTGGGCGGACGGGACGGACGGACGACTTGGGCGGACGGACGACTTGGGCGGACGGGACGGACGGCATTCCACGGCGGCATTCCACGGCGGCGGCGCAGAATGGAGTAGCCATGGAGTGAAGTTGGGCGGACGGGACGGACGAACGACTTGCGCGGACGGGACGGACGACTTGGGCGAACGGGACGGACGGACGGACGACTTGGGCGGACAGGACGGACGGACGGACGGACAACTTGGGCGGACGGGACGGACGGGCGGACGGGACGGACGGGACGGACGGGACGGACGACTTGGGCGGACGGGACGGAACGGACGGACGGGACGGACGGGCGGACGGGACGGACGGACGACTTGGGCGGACGGGACGGACGGACGGACGACTTGGGCGGACGGGACGGACGGACGGACGACTTGGGCGGACGGGACGGACGGACGGACGACTTGGGCGGACGGGACGGACGGACGACTGAGAACCATGAAAAAAGGTTGGTGCAGGTGGTGGTGACAGCCAGGGAGACGGCCTTGAGCAGGGAAGGGCAGACGGAGACCCAGCCCACAGTCAGGACTGCATCCCACGGCGGCGTCGCAGAATGGAGTAGCCATGGAGTGAAGAGTCCCAACACTACCAAGGGGATTACCGGAGGTGATGGAGGTGGAGCACACCATGTAGCCAGAGAAGCGATGAGGCAGTGAGACACAAAGACCTAGGCGACCGCGACTAGGCCACAGCGCCGACCCCTGAAGTGGAAGCAGCGATCCTGAGGTTAGAGGCTGAGCTGCAGCAATCATAGATGGAGGCAGAACCTGAGGGAGGGCGGAGCTATTTATAGGCGAAAGAGGTGGAGAGCCGTAGGGCAGGGAATGGGCCGCAAGTCCATGGCGAAGAAGATGTAATGTCCAACAGAGGGAGGCCGAATGGCCGATGGTCTACGCTGGAGTCAAGGGTGGTAAGAGAGCACAGCTGCATTCTCACTGGGAAGAACGCTGTAGACCAGAATCTGCACTGCTGGAGCCATATCGACACCGTCACTTTGTTTGCAACTGGAGTCTTATCAAAACGAGTCACGGATATCTGTTAGGAATAATCAAGGTTAGGAAAGGGAAACAATTTGAAGGCTTCTGGGATAAGGATGACATTTTGCTTACCTTTCCATTAAGCATTGATCCAGGTTCAAAATAAGGAACCAGGAGCTCCACAAATCTGACTCTGCCGACTACAAACATAAAAGGACACCATTGCAGATTTAGACACCATTACATCTGCGAGAGAAATTCCAAACAAACAGTGAAGAATATCAACTTTGTGGCTTAAAGTGGATGTCCTGTAAAGATGATAAAGAGTATATGGTTCAGATCAGCCAATAGCTTACCTAATCTAGTAAGTAAGTAAGTAAGTAAACTTTATTTATATAGCACTTTTCACAGACATGAAGGGTCACAAAGTGCTTTACAGTAAAAAACAAATAATAAAAGAAATAAAAACCACACACATATTACAACACCACCATATAGCTAGTTAAAAGCTTGTCTAAAAAGATGTGTTTTAAGGTGTTTATTAAAATTTTCTACAGTATCCAAAGCTCTCAAGACTAATGGAAGAGAATTCCAGAGCCTTGGAGCCACCACACAAAATGCACGATCACCTCTTGTTTTAAAACGTGTTCTAGGATCAATAAAAAGGTCTTGGCTCTTGGCGTAATCTAAACCAGAAACAAAGCAGAAAAAAAAAACAGGACCATCATCCATTTGATCACTGGATGGCAAACAAACCAAGAGTAGTAATGGTGTTGAAGGAAAGTTTCAATGGTTCACAAAGCTTATTTTCACCATCTGTAAAGTTTAGGAAACAACTCCAACATAAAAACAGAATGCTTCTGTTCACTTCAAAGCCTAATGGTACTGACCTGGTTCTTTAAGTCCATCAACAGCAAAGAGAAAAAGAGTGAAAATGAGCTTCTTCCAAACACAAATCTCCCTCACAGCCATGAGGACAGATCAGCCAAGACTAACCCTTATCAAGCCACTCTTCAGACTCTAATAGATCAGGAACGCATTCATCTTGTTAATTCAATTAATTAACCACCACCTGGCAGTAATTAATGTTATCATTTGATTAGGAGTTCCAACTGGAATTGATTTGAAACGCGACACATTATGGAGGTTAGCGGACGAATTTTCTAGTTGCCATATCAACACTATAGAATTTAAAAAAAATATAGCCTATGTATTTAAGATATTACTGAACATTTATTTAACCATAGCAAAAGTAAGTTTCTTGTGTTAATTTTGAACAAGTCTGATATTATTTTATCTTATATCTTGAGATAGTTCTTGAATGCTGGTGTGACAGCAGAAGACAGACTAGCCGGGTTTAAATCCTATATTGAAGAGAACTTTGTCCCAGTTGTGCAGGCGGGGCATGTTGTCACTCTGCGTTGCAATGAGCAAATGATTAGAATTATTGCTTTTCTACTCTATACTTGTATGAACTCTATTGAGAAACCATGAGAAAAGGGTGAATAAATTCTGAGATTCAATGTTCAGAAATTATAAATAGAGGGACGTGACGTCACCGTTGGCCGGAGTGCCTGCAGTTCCTCACAGTGAGTCTCATTCATAAATATGTAAATATGAGAGTAATTTGCGCGTAAAGAGACCTTCCCGAAAACTCTTCTCATGATTTACAAATACATCGTAAACGTCAGATGTCATAGTGAAATGTGTGTGTTAATGAATTCCAACCTGTCGTAAATGGGATGCTCGTGCACTTTCATTCTCAATTACCATAAATCAAGTCCATCTCCGACTGACATCTATATATAGGCATATAATAACATGAATGCGGATTTGATTTGATTAACTTCATTGTCTGTTCAGATGTACTGGACAGAAATTCATCTTTGACACTGGCACAACCACCACGTTACAAACCACATAAGAAATAAATAATTAATACACACTGTTATGTGGATAGCAGATGAAATGTTTGTGTTGTGGATTATGGTTCAACAAACTGTACAATACAGACATATTGACACATAATCCACAACACAAACACAACACAAAGTCTAAATCCGTATATGTGTTTGGCCGGAAGCTACTTATTTTACTTTATAAAGTTTTAAATGTGTTTTCTTACACACACTTCGCTGCTTCAGAAGGCCTTTATTAAAGCCCCAGAGCAGTGTGTGCACTTTTACCATCAATAGATGCACTAAGACAGAAACAGCATTTCACTGCCATCATAAAGTGCATTTTTAATATAACTCTGATTGTGTTCGACTGAAAGATGAATGCCATACACACTCTATCCCTTTCGTATTACTGGCTTTACATGAGCGCCACCTAATGTCAGAGAGCTTGTGTTGTTGTTTTGGACACATTAGACATTCCTGTTGGTTGAACACGAGTTAATAGATATCGATCAACAAAGTGTCCTGTGCTCAGCACACACCGGCTATACAGATTTGACCATGTGGCTAATTTACACAGAAGAGACTTTGTTGCTCAGCACATGAAAATAAACTACTTACCGTGACCTCAGACTGTGTTTAAAGTGGACCGTATAATACACATGTTGGCGATGTCACACTCCTGACAATATGACAATAAATCATGCTAGAGTTGATCTTTATTGACACTATACCACAGTGAAGTGTCTTTACATGTGTGTTAAACATGTCTGAGAAGGGCAACACACATCTGCTCTGAACACACGAGAGCATTACTGATAGTTTCACTTCCTTATTTGAGCAGTTTCCTGCATGCCGTTCTAGAAATAAAACTGGGCTGCAGAGCACATTACTAGAGCTGCAGATTTGCAGGAATGAGCTGCCCGACTCAACCTGAGCTGACGAGGCTTTAGCCATCTTCAAGAAACGGCTGAAACACACATATTTCATCAACACTTGAGCCTTTAATACTCACACTTCCTCTTCTATATTACCATACATTACGAGCTCATGAAGGGGAACATCTCAGGAAAGGAGACATATTAAACACAACTGCAGAGGTTTATTAAGAATATTAGTAGCAATCATTCAACATGAAAAACAGATGAGGAATCAATAATACAATAATCCTCAGATCATCTCCATCACACAGAACAGAGAGACGATTATACAGTCTGAGTCTGTCCATTACTGTATTTAATATTATATTTACAGCAGTTTACAGATGAAGCTCAAGAACATGACTGTAGGCAAATATCCATAGAAATGAAAAGAAATCCTAATAAAAGTATTATTGAGATAAAAAAGTGTTTGCTATTGTAAATATTGCTGCAGATTGTGAACTCATCAGTGTTTTACTGTAATATTGTGGGCATCTCTATTTCCTCCGGGGGCTTCGAGTCCTTCCTCCCTGCAAAATAAAAGCATTGCCTGACCTCTGGTGTGTGTTTATCATGATTGCAGATGTTCAGATCAGACGAGTGTGAATCTTCAGAGTGTGTGCGGCTCAAACTCACCAGCTCTTCTTGCACAGATGATCTGAAGAAGAATCACAGTAGGAGCAGCAAACACTGCCATCTCAACAATACTCACAATCACTGCAGGAAACATGAGAGGAAGAAGAAGAGAAACTGGACATGACTGAAGTCAAGGGTCTTCATCTATCAACAGTTATTGATGAAGCATTTACAGACGGACTGATAGTGTAATGTTAGAAAGCTGTCCGTCTAAATCAACGTGTCGTACCTCTGTATAATAATCCAGCACTCACACCGACGACAGTTTCTGATGCCGGATCAACTGTGGAGATCACGTGTGGTCCTGTAGAATGGTCCAATGGTCCTGTAGAATATGACAGTCATATTTAGATGAGTGAACACTGAAGATAACTCCAGCATTACGCACTGAAAAGCACTGATGTGAGAAAGACAGTGATGATGTACCTTTAGAAACGTGTGTGTTTATAGTTGAGGGATCCTGAGAGTGTGTGATGTGGACTGGATTCACTGCTGTCGTTGAATCAGCTTGAGCTGTGAAGATCAATGTTAGTTCAGATGATTCATACTGTACAATATGAGCATCATATTTTAACTGTGATCATCACATTACATAAAGAGTGAACAGTTGGACTGTGACTTCACTGCAGTTCATTAGTTTGAAGCAACGCTTTGAGTTCCTCTTCTGTGAGAGTCAAAGAAGCTTTTGTTCCCTCAGTTTGTTCTGGTTCAGTGATACTGATAGACCTCAGTGTTCCTGACATCATGAGGCTCTTCTAACACTGTTTCCTCACCTGAATACTTGACAGTGTATCTGACTGACGTCTGGACTTGATTTCCCCGAGTAAGCCGACATCTCCACTCTCTGTTGTCATCTTCATCCAGGAGTGTTGTAGTCAGAGTGATGATACAGCGATGTGGAGATGATGATGATGATGATGATGATGATGATGATATCTGATATCTGGAGTCTGTCTTCAGATCAACACCAGCCTGATTCACCCACAACAGCTCAACTCCCCCAGAACTGACCCAATAATCACAGGAGTATCTAGAATATAAATACAACTGACAGGAGAGAGTCACAGAGCGGCCTGGACTGATCTCAGTCTGTGAGGATGAAGATGATGATGATGATGATGATGATGATGGAGACACTGAAACTGAACACAAGACACAAATCACAGACTCTTCAATCGTCATCTGAGTTTAAAGGGAGAATCTGCTCTTTTTATATTGAACACATAATCATAAACTCACCATGAAGAACATGCAGAAAAACATAAGCATCAGTTCCTTGTTGTTCTCCGTTCACATATTGTCTGCAGGTGTATACTCCATAATCTTCTTCTGTGACGTTCTTGATGTTCAGAGAGCAGTCAGACTCCAGACTCAGTCTCTCATGTCTCTCTGTGTCTTTATTCTTTATTCCTCCAGTAATCAGTTTAACTATCTCTGAATCTCTGAATCTGTTCTTGTAGATCCATGATGTTGATTTGCAGTCAGAAAGATCTTTATTACAGGACAGAGAGACATCTACACCAGAACTGATGAACAGATGATCATCTCCACTGGTTCCTGAAACACAGTATATCTCAGTGATCATGATGATATAAACAGAAGTATTAAATGATGATATTTGTCCTCTCGACTGCATCTGAGAGTGTTAAAGCTCTGTTGTAAAGCTGCCCAGTTTCGGCTGAGTTTGGATCGCTCTTTGAGTTGTAAGTTGATGCGAGCGCGGATACATGGAGTTACTGGAGCAGTTTTGCTTCTAGACGGCGAGTGTTGGAAATCCCAATTAGTCATTGTATTGGGAGACACGCCCATTTCCTTGAGCTTCCTTCACCTGAGGATAATTACCTTACCAATCACCCTCACTAGTGTGTTTCTCTTTGTGCTGACTGTTTGCTCCTCTGCTTGCTGCATGTGTTTGCTGCGTCTATGACTTTGTAAGTTCATTTAAACTTTCTGTATTGATATTAATTTTATAACTGTTGATTTGTTTAAAGATTTTCTTTATGGTGATGTGGAAATATATTTATGTAATTTGTATCAGTAAAGTTAAGTTTGTTTGATTGTAGACACCAGCAATATGCAGCAATTGTAAAGCAAATCATGAAAGAAATGGGAGAACCAAGAAAGAAAGCAAATGGCAATAAATCAACTGAGAAGTAATTTCTGGACTCATTCCTGTGTTCTAATCGACACACCATTTTGGTAGCACTCATCCTTAACCAGCTAAACACCGAATAATTTACATGGTCCTTCGAGCCGGAGAGGCTGCTGGAATGGAGTCAGAAGATAACTCGGGGAAACTGAAGTGTTCAACTAGGCGTGTGAGGCCTCCGGTGTGGCATCAGGATTATGAAATGGTACATCCCCACTCTTCTGCTACAAATGTTCGAGGTCAATTACAGGGAGGAGTGAATCCAGAAGCCCTGCTACCATCTGAAAACACTGATGTGAAGTCTCTGACCGAGGAGGTCAAACAGATGAAAAGCATGTTAATTAATTTGGGAGAAATGATGAAGAATATGCAGGACCAAAGTGAATGTTCTTCCTTTACTTCTGATTCACAAAGCTTGCGTGCTGCATCTCCTGAGAGACGGACAGGAGAGGGAGATCCATCAGTGGACTTTAGGACATCCTTTGTGCAGGAGCTAGGAGAATGTCTTCGTCAACATCAGGGAGAGAGACAAAGCTTGCCTCCTCTCTCACCATCAAGGTTGAGTAGACCAAGCACTCTTCCACCTCCACCGGCCTCTATGCTTCCTACACCCTCTGCCCGATCTAGTACAGAACAAATTGACATGCAGCCAGGCCTAAACGTTCATGCACTATCTGAGCCATCAGTTCCCTGTCAGAGAAACTTAACTTCACAACACCCTATGAACGTGAATCCGATTCCACATTACCTGAATCGGCCACGAGGTGTCAATCAAGACTTATCTCAAAACTACGATTTTGGTCATCAAGGATTTTATCCCAGTGACCCTCAGTTAGCAAGGAGCGATGTCCACCAATATAGTCAAATGCCAGGAAACGCTTTCTACTTTCCAGGCCCTTTGTGCCCTCCATGGATGCTGCCGCCTTATGTTCCAAACGGTGGAGTATTTAGGCCTCCGTATTTCCCTTATCCTTTTCCTGATCTGCCATATGCCTTACCTATCCATTCAGAGTATGTGGATCCACTAGCTGCCGCACGACAATCTCCTCAGGCTCCTCACGGGCCTGTACCTGCTCCATCTATTAGAGTGACAGCTTCTGCTACTAATCCCCTAGTCATGCCTGCTTGTGGTTCTCGCCATTTGCCCCGGGGCCCAGCACTAGTTGATCCTGGTAGGCACCTAGAAGAGTATCCAGCTAGTGACCCTAGACATGTTCAGTGCCATTCTGTTGCTGATATGATTCCCATAGTCTCGGTGTCCCAGTCTCATGAGGCACCTGCGGATTGTGTGCATTCTGCCCATAGGGTTCATTCTACGACAACTGCTCACTCCGGTCTTCCAGCCCAGTCAGCAGTTCCTGTATCCTATATATCAGTGCCCCCTGTTCAGCTCGGAAGGTCAGCATATGAGAGGCCTTCATTTCCGTTTTTTAGAAGAGAAGACCCTCATGAGTTTGCAATGCTAAATATGGCTCTGGAGAACTTATTGCCACTTGAGGAAAATGAGCAGTATAAATATCATATTCTTCTTGATCACTTGAAATTGGATTCAGCCCGTCATCTTGCCCTCGCTTATGCTCATCATCCACAGCCTTACACTACTTCTTTACAAGCTCTTCGGAAGAGGTACGGCCAACCCCAACATCTGGTGTTAAGAGAAATTACTTCTGTCCAGAGCCTTCCAAATGTTCGTTCTGGAGATTCTCGAGGATTCAGTCAGTTTGCCGTACGTATTAGAGCTTTGGTAGGCATGCTTCAGTCCTGGGGTCATGGCGAAGGTGCAAGGGAGCTGGCCTGTGCGTCTCATGTCCATCAGCTGCTTAGTAAGCTCCCCCCTGACCAGGTTGCTAGTTTTGCCAGACAAACCCGACTATTAAGACCAGATGTGCCGTATAATCTGATAGACTTTGCCAACTGGTTAGAGGAAGAAGCAGAATGTCAAAGTTTGGCTGTTCAAGTGAGTGAGCCATCACGGAGGGTTACAGGGCCACTGGCCAGAGATCATTCCACCGCCACTTTCTTTCAGGGTGTAAGTCAGGAAGAGAGTGCTAGAGATCACATCCAGAATCAAAGCACTAATCCTCATGTGAAATTCTCTAGTGAATCTGCATTCCCATCCTGTGCTTTCTGTGACAGTCAAGCTCACCATCTTAGTCGGTGTCCTGGATTTCGAGAATTTGATGCAGCCGCCAAGGAAAAGTGGATTACGGACAATGGCCGCTGCTGGAGGTGTGGACGTTCCCATCGTTCATCTAACTGCAACTTAAAGAAAGGCTGCCCCCAATGCAAAGGTCGGCATTTAGGAATCCTGCATGAAGTGAATACTCGTAAAAGTGAGCAACAGATTCTCTATCTGAGGAGGCCCAGTGGATTCAATTCTGTACTCCTTAAAGTGGTAAGAGTTGTCTTGACTCATAACGGGAAATCTCTGGAGACCTATGCCATTCTGGATGACGGTTCAGAAAGAACCATGCTTCTGTCATCTGCTGCGGAGGGTTTGGGCCTCAATGGGGCGGTGGAGACCTTAATCTTGCGCACAATCAGACAAGGCACAGAGAAAATTGTGGGTGCTACAGTGTCATTTTCAATTTCATCAGCTTCCCAACGTCAGAAGAAATATGAAATCAAAGATGCTTTCACTGCTAAGCAACTAGATCTACCTGAGCAGACTTACCCGATCACTACTCTGCAGAGACGTTATCAGCACCTCCAAGGCTTGCCGTTGCAGGAGTTCCATAAGATCAGACCATTGCTGTTGGTGGGTGCAGACCATTCTCATCTCTTGTGCTCTACGGAATGTGTGAGATTTGGCCCCCCTGGAAGTCCAGTTGCCCTGCACACTTGCTTAGGATGGACATTGCATGGTCCGACCTCTCTGGTGCAAGAATCCAGTTCTGATACCCGGTGTCTTCTTACTTCGCTTGACAAAGACCAGTTACAGAGGGATGTGGAACGATTGTGGCAGATCGACATATTTCCATATTCTAAGAATTCTAAAGCTGTTATTAGGTCCAAGCAGGATCAGCAAGCCTTTGAGTGCCTGGAGAAACAAACCGAGCGTCATGAGATTAATGGAATAGAGAGATATGCCACTCCTTTGCTCAGAGTCAAAAATTCCCCCTTATTGCATGAGCCTCCTGCCAAGCCTGCAGTCGAACACGCAAAGCCTGCAGTGAGGCCTTCCGACGAACTACCAAAGCCTTCCGACGAACTGCCCGAGCCGCCTGCAGCTGAACCCGCAAAGCCTCCTGTCAAGCCTCCAGTGAAGCCTGCAGCCGAACCTCTGAAGCCTGCAGTGAGGCCTTCCGACGAACTGTCCGAGCTTTTTGACGAACTACCGGAGCCATCAAAACCCCTTGGCTACGTGTCATTGAACATCTTGGACACGGATTCGATAACGCCAAATATTCTTCTGATGGGGCGGCGAGACGCGTCCCTTCCACAAGTAATGTATGTTGACTCTGAGCTCTTGACCCATAGGAAGTTGAGACACAGTCAAATCCTTGCTGGGTTCTGGGTTAGCTTTATCAAGGATTATCTCCCAAGCCTTCAGTCCCGTCAGAAGTGGAAAGCAGATGGTCCCTCTATCTCAACTTCTGTTGTGGTCATCTTGATGGATCCTCAGCTCCCTTGTAGTTCCTGGCCTATAGGGACAGTCTCTAAGGTCCTGCCTAGTTCTGATGGCTGCATTCGAGTGGCTGGGATCGTCATAAATGTTAAATAATTTATCCGTCCAGTTAGCCGCTTAATCGTTCTTCCTGCCTTTCCCATTGATCCTACTGTATGAGTGGGATTTCTTAGGACAAATATGTTGTCATATTTGGGGGCGGCTGTTGGAAATCCCAATTAGTCATTGTATTGGGAGACACGCCCATTTCCTTGAGCTTCCTTCACCTGAGGATAATTACCTTACCAATCACCCTCACTAGTGTGTTTCTCTTTGTGCTGACTGTTTGCTCCTCTGCTTGCTGCATGTGTTTGCTGCGTCTATGACTTTGTAAGTTCATTTAAACTTTCTGTATTGATATTAATTTTATAACTGTTGATTTGTTTAAAGATTTTCTTTATGGTGATGTGGAAATATATTTATGTAATTTGTATCAGTAAAGTTAAGTTTGTTTGATTGTAGACACCAGCAATATGCAGCAATTGTAAAGCAAATCATGAAAGAAATGGGAGAACCAAGAAAGAAAGCAAATGGCAATAAATCAACTGAGAAGTAATTTCTGGACTCATTCCTGTGTTCTAATCGACACACCATTTTGGTAGCACTCATCCTTAACCAGCTAAACACCGAATAATTTACAGCGAGGATGTGGACCATCAGTGTGCTTTTTCTCCCGTAAGTTTGATAAACATCAAGGGAATTACTCGACAGTTGAAAAGGAAACTTTGGCGTTGTTGTTTT